CAGAGAGGCTCACAGAGGGCTCTGAGTTCTGGTGAGGTGTCCTTGTGCAAGGTTTCTCTCTAGGGCTCCATTCTAGGGACCTGGCAGAACCTGCATGGCAGAGGACAATTCCAGGGACTCTTGCTCTGCAAGAAGCAGAGTCTACGACTCAAGAATGAAGACAGCCCAGGGAGGAGTCCTACCAAATGCTTTCTGGGTCAGCCTATTCTTGACACACGATCCAGTCTCCAGTTCACCCTACTGGGTCATGGGGTCCTGCTCCCTCTGGTGTCTCTTTAGAGATAAGCCCAAGGTTTCGAGGAGCTGTGCCTCCCTCCCCACCACCCCACCAGAGCTTCCTGGGCCCCCAGAATCACCATGAATTTTCTTCAGGGATGTTTCTTCTAGCAATGACCATGAGACCTCATCAAATGACCAGCTACCTCATCAAAGTTCGCACCCTTGTGGGGCAGAAGGTGGAAATGAGTGACAATGCCAGATGTGCTTTAGTTAACACTATGCCCCAGCCCAGAGGCCAAAGTCATAGGCACTCTCCTAGCCACAGGACGGCGGCTGGGTTAGAACTACACTCTGCATATGGTGCATCTAGTTCTTTTTCTTTTTAAGATTTATTTATCCATGCATATAGAACTGGAGTACAGGCCAGAGGTGTGGGGGCCAAGGGGGGTGAGAGGATTCACCAGAGACAGAGTGGGAGCAGTATAGGCAGCTGGACTGAAATACACTAGTGAGGGGAGCCGCGGGTGGGACAGGAGAGGTCTGCTGCGCCCCCACACCTGCATATTGTTCTTTAATCTGGACAACTCCCATAAGAAACATATTTCCAAAATGAAATAAAAGTGTAATATTCCTTCTGAAAGAAAGGACTATGCTTAAACTATAGCTTAACCAATTCCAGAGAAATGGCAACAGCTCACCCTTCCTTGTCATCAGAAATGTCTTCAGTGGACTTCTCGGTCCTGGGGATCAAGATCTTTCTTGGTGTCGGTGGGTCAAGGCCACTGGAGTCAGATGGCTGTCTTTCTTTGGAAGTCCCTAGAAGATGGGGAAATGGGGCATTATATTTCCGCCTGCGCTAGGAACCTCTCATCCCAGGACACAGCACACACTGTTCAGAAGATGTTCTAATCAGAAATGGCTTTTTTCCCTTAATACTTTCTGAAAGTTCCTCTTATAAGTGTTTTAAAGGGGATTTCTGTGTGCCTGCCTGAAATTGAGAAAGAAAATAGAATAAATTTATTTCAAATCATCTAATAATAAAAACTCCCAGGTCCTCCCTGATGGCGCAGCGGGTTAAAGCACAGCACTGAGAAGCTAAAGCCACTTTAGCATGAGTTTGATCCCCGCCTGCCCCGGAGGAGATCCACATGGCGTGGCAGACCTCTCCTGACCCGCCTGCTGCTCCCTTCAGCAGTGTACTTCATCAATCTGCCTATTCTGCTCCCCAATCTGTCTCTGGTGAAACCTCTCACCACTCCTGAGCCTCTGGCTTGTACCCCAGTTCTGTATGTACAAATAAATAAATCTTTAAAAAAAACAAAAAACAAACAAAACAAACCCTCATATCTGTGAACAATGAGCTGAAGGACCAGGCGGATTTAGGATATATCCCTGGATTAGGGGGCACTGGCTGACCTGCTTCTCTACACCCCACCCCTCCTCCCAACTCGGCTGGGCCCTCTTCCTAGGAGAGAAGACACTTTGTGTGAAGTCAGTGTGAAAGGACAAACCCAGGGTGGCAGCCTTGGGAGGCTGGAAAGTCAAACTAGAAACTTCTCTGTTTTTACTACACTGAAGGAGCAAAAGCCACCTATTTTATTTTTGAATCACAAATTCTCTATTTCAGATTTATTATTTTTGGTAGTTATTATTTTTGGTAATAGTTTACTGAATACTGCCTCACCAAAGATTTAAGGTACTTAAGTAATACAAAGTCCAAAAGAAACCCTGGCTGCCTGAGAGGAGGCAACAGTCATCTTAAATTTCAGTTCACAGCTCATAGCACCAGAAAGGCAGGAACAGCCCAGTGGGCGGCAGAGTACATGTGGAGAAAGCAAAGAAATTTTTCTCTCCGGGCCTGGCATATCAAGATGCACTGGGTACCGTTTAAATGGTGTTGGGTTTGGCAAAGTGCCCTTCAATAGATGACTGGTTAGAGAAACTGTGGGGGATGTTCATACAGCAGTGAAGAAAGATGAAAAAAGTGGCATCTGGGGCAAAATGAATAGAGTGTGAGGTAATTATGGTGAGTGATACCAGTCAAGGTATGAAAGACAGATTTCACATGGTTTCACTCATCTGTGGAATGTAAATCCAATACCCCCCATAATTACTCACAAACAATAGAAATAAAAAAATTAACATGGAAGAATGAATATTTGGTTACAGGGCCGTAGAGGAAAGGGTGACTGGGGGTGGGGGAGGGAGGCCGATGGTGGTTTGGCGGAGAGAAAAAAATTCAGTAAGTGCTGGTAGCTTTGGGAAGCATATTACATTTGCAACTCAGACAAGTGTACGCATAAAAACACGGTACAGATAACTAGAAATATGTTTATCATGGGTAGTAGATTCTCTTTCTCAGTTCTCTGAGTTGTGGAGTTTGCTTGCGGTGCTCCTAGAAGGCCAGAACCTTGACTTTCTCATTGATAAGCCATTGCATGTGCCTTACATTTTTCTTCTTAGTACAATCACCACTTTCAAGCAGTTCTAATCCAAGAGTCCCTTGAATATGGACATTTATTTTCTATTGTTAGTTATGCTAAATCTCCTCTAGCAGCCCACCCCACCCTCAGCCAGCAACCCCCAGTATCAACAGAGCACCCAAAATGGTACTTGGGTAAATTTTACTAATTTACTGAACAGTGACAAAAATAGGAAATTGCTAAGATCTTGGTAAATACTAACTTACCTTTCTTTGAGCTGATCCCAGGAATGGGCGGCACCAGGAAAAGCAGGGGTAGAGTTTGAATTAGCACCAACCACCCCAATGACATACAGACAGTTTCCATAAGGCCTCCTGCTTAGCACCCCAAATTAGGGAGCACAGGCAGAGGAAAGCAAATGGTTCTGAAGGCACAGGGGCAGCCCTTCCTCCATTCAAGGGGGAGCTTAAGCCTCCCACCCTGTTAGCACCTCAGATAATCAGCCAATCATGAGCGTCCACTGAAAGACACTCTTCTGAAAGAAACTGGGGTTTACTCTGCTCACACCTGCTTCTGGCTACTTCCTCAAAGATGTCTATGTCCTAAGTGGTGTTACTAAGCAGAGGAATGGTTAAATCATCTGAGGCTCAACAGTTAGCTGGGCACTCAGAGCCAGCATGGGGCCCACTTACACCTACTTTCTAAGTTGGAGAAAACAAACATTTGCTCCACCTGGAACTAAAATTAGGACATTTGTTTTACAGTTTGAATAACTGAATCAATGACACTCATCTCTTCTAAAATATTTCATTTTTCCCACTGATTTGAAAATAAAATAGCCATAGCTTCCTATCTAAACATATGGATAGGGTGAGATCCCAAATGCTTTTGGTTCTTATAGAGGATGACACTACTCCATCTCTCTACCTCCTCCTCCCTCTACAGTCCTATAGCAATTCCACTGAAGGGAAATAATGATCACCATAGAAATCACTTCACCACTGACGGCTTATTTGGTCATTAGAGTTTTCTCTCCCAAAACCACATAGTGAGCAGGCAATTAACAATCATTTTTGTACTTGTCTGTTTCCACTGCAGCTATTTAAAAAGGTCAATACACATTCTGTGGGGTGACTTATTAGTTTTTAAAAGAACTGTTTTTAAATTTTAGTGTTTGACTATGTATCATCTCAGCCCCACCCACCATTGTTTTTCATTCTTTGCCCTTTTGTCTGGAGTTTTCCCCTTTAAGTCACTGAATAATAACATTACTCAATAAAGGTAACTGACATTATGAAATATTATGTAAAATCACCTTTACCTCAATCTGGATCATGAGATTTGTCACACCCTGTTTGCTGTGCAAAGACAGACTCAAGACCAATCCAGTCCCCAGCACAGGCCCTCAGAAGCTCCGCTACAATGCTGAGTTACCATCACCACCAGTTTGCTGCTGTTTCAGGTGGGTGGGTCCAGCATGAAGGGAGGTCCATTAAGGGAGCAGTCAAAAATCACAGTGAGCATTAGATTATGATTTGGCAAGAAGGCCTGCTCAGAAACTGGCAATCCCCATGAAGGGCTGCTTTGGAAGGTTCACCAAGGGGTCTGCCTAGGAGGGTAGGAGTCAAGAGGGAGGGTCACACATCCTAGCCCCTTCACAGGATTTACTCAAACAGGGAAGACCCAAGGAAAAGGCAAGTCCAGGCGAAATCACTGTTGGGTTAGTTTTCTGTGAAGGAAGAGGCCCCACTCAGAAAACCAGAACTTAACTAAGGAAATTGGGGGCTTCCTCAGAGTTGAAATCTTTAAACTCACAGTGCTGCCCTGACACATGAGGGAAAGTGCTAAGCAGGAGGGCCCAGGGCTATTAGCAGTCACTGGATAGCAGTCCACTCACTAGGGAGCTAGGTAGAGACTCATTCATCATTACAGTAACTGTACTTCAGTCTAGGTAAGTGTCAAAGACTGCGCTGCCCTTAACTGGTTAGCAGCGAGCAAACAGCCAGGTTTGTCGCTTCCAGAGCCTCCTCAGCCCCCCTCACGTCTGGTCTTCTCTCCTCACCGTAAAGGCCAGTTCCACAGAAAGAATAGGTTGTATTCAGGCTGGACTTAGGATAGGAAATGACTCCATCATGCAGTGTTATCATTCAGTATTGTGAACATTCTCTAATTTCATGTGATAGAGTGTTCTACCTGTTGAAAGTAAGGACATGGGTGAAAAGTCTAAAGTCCAATATTCAGGAACCATCAGTACAAGTTGGTTATGTTCTGCATTTAAATAATAAGCATTACTCAGTCCTTTAAAAATAATTTATTTTTTGTTACAAAGTTAATTATAAAAGTTTTAAGAGACTTAAGTATACAAAGGTTGAAACAAAACATCCAAAAATAACCAGGTATAAATGTTGGTATTTTCCTGGATTCTCTTCTGTCATACATACACTACTACTCTCCAAACTGAGATCAGATGGCACACAGGTCTAATTTGCTTTTTAAGTTTAACTCATAAACATTTGACCAGAGTGGTACATTTTTTTTTTGTAACATTGTGTACAAAGCATGAAATATTGGGTCGGGTTATAGATTATTTAGCCAATTCACTGGTTTTTATGATACCATTATTAAGTTTTAGGATACTTCATGGTTTTTTTTTTTTTCAGTGCAAAGTACTAGGACTTCTTTGATCATCTTTGTGCAAATTCCTACAAGCAAAAGTATCCATCGGGTCACAGCTTTTCTGGGACTTCCCATATCTAACAGCAAACTAAACACTCCCACCAACAGTGCCTGGGAATGAAAATATACACCTAGTCATCTTGTAACAGATTATTCCTATGCCTCCTGGTTCAATGACTTCACTGAGAAGCTATAAAAACACACAGATGCTCACTTTCCTTTTAGCCCCATTAAACATTAAATCCACATGAAAGGACTGACCTGCATCTCTAAATCAATGCTCTTTGTACTTGGCATCAATCCTAAGCACAAGAATGCCAGTAAACACCTCCACTGCAGTACCAGCCTGGAGTTAAAATTAGGTCCATGTCCTAACTTGGTCCATATTCAAGTCCATGTCCCAGCAGGAGGGCCCTTGCCAGACCTGGGCACTGTGGTAGGTAAGCAGCTCCCTTCAGCTAGGGTGACAAGGCACCTGGAAATTTGTCCTACTCTGTGAGACTAGGCACCCAGCAAAGGATGGCCCCAAACTCCAGAAATGGTTCCCAAAAGAAACTAGGCATGGGTGTGAGTACCCAGGACTGTCGTCCACATACAGCCAAGTCTCACATGACCACAGACAGCAAAAACTGTGACTTTAAATTCCAGAAAGCTATTTTAAGACCTCAACACTTTGAAATATGTTAGTCTTGAAACAGGTTGATTTTGCAAATTATACCGATTCCTCTAAATAGACTAATTGCTTTTTCTGACTTAACAAGTTGTCCTGGTAGGTTGTTGAATAAAGCAGCACTGCACCCCACAATCCTGACCTCCAAAAAGCACGGGGGAACAGCCATCCCCTCGAGGCTCTGAGAGGCCTCTCCCTCCCTAGGGAAGCTGAGCAGCAAGGTTAAGAAACAGATGTGGCTTCCTGACTCCCTGTGAAGGACTGTTCCCCACAGCTACAGAGAAAAAAATACTAAGCCATCGTAAGTTCATTAAAATCAGGTATTAAATACTATTCAGAGATGTGGGAAATCACATAAAGCCATACAGAAACTTACTTCACTACAGACTTAAAACTAAAATACTTTTTCCAGATCTGTAAAATGACTGATAAAATGCCTATTTTATTTTAAGTATGACTGGTTCCTCGGGTCAGTCAGCAAGGAAGTGGGAGGGGAAGGGTGATGAAAAACCAGAAGTCAGAACTCCAGGGCAGTTGGCGCCCTCACTGCCGAGTAGAAAGCAGCACTGCTCACCTCACGATGTCTGCGCTGCTGAGTCTGACTCCGACACTCTCTGCCCAGGGTCTTACAGGGCTGCCGGAAACACCAGACACCAACCAAAGGAGGCCACAATAGGCACACTAACGTGTGCAACAATAAGAAAAACATAGCTTTCCTCCTAACTTATACCAAAAGACTGTATCGATTATACATTAACGTTCATCATTTGAATATTCAAAAGTAACCCATTTTCCACATTGTTAAATCATATTAACACAGTTTCTTTAATAGCAGTTTAAGTTTTGCAAAACTATCTTCAGGTATCATATCAATGAGCACCGTGATTTTTAACACCACAACTGGAATTGGCTTTGCTATAAGCTAAATGGGGGGAGAGGTTTCAAATTGAAAATGATGCCTTGTTTTAAAGTTGGCTTAACAAAATATTATAGTTTTGTTGGTTTAACAAATATTTCAATTATCAGTTAACACCTTCAGACTCAAATGCACTGGCTTTACCAAGTAATGGGAGAAAGTCATAAAAGAACATCTCAATCATGCTGACTTCTCATTTCTTTCTCTCATCCTAAGCAAACTGCCTCACTCAACTTCGCCGTGTAATCTGGAGCTGTTTCTGGGCCTCTCCGGAGGGTGAGGGAGATGTAATCATAGGAGACAGGGCAGAACGCCTCGGGGGAGCAAGCAGACCCCCAAGGAGCAGCACCTGCTGTGACATAGGCAGAAGCAGGGCTCTGCATGAAGCACACACTGAAGCTCCTCCTCCAAGCACCAAACTGTCTTCCAGAGTGACAAATCCACATGGACCGCAGTATAAAGATAAGGAGTAATCTGGGAGCCACAGCTGAGGGAGATGCTGGAGGAGCGGCAATCTGACAGCCAGGCCACCTGTTGGCGCTCGCAGCAGTGTCCTGTGTCACACAAAGCTCCGTGCCCTGCAGGCGCAGAAGACACCCTATGATGTTCTGAGCAGCCAAGGAGGCAGGAGGAGAGGTGAACCCAGGGAACGTGAGTGCTCCAGGTCTGCTCCTGCAGGGAGGACTTCTGAGTTGGAGACAGCAGCATGGGGGGGAGAAGTGCCATTCTCAACGGACAACATCTTTGCAAATTTGAATGCTATACCAATTCTAAATATAGGAAAGTGCTAATTAAAGCCTGGATAAATTAGTTTTTTTTTTTTTTATCATGTTTAGAAAACGAAACAGACAGACAAAACAGTCAAAGAAATAACAGAAAGTGGTAGGTTTCTCCAACTGTTTCATTAATTAAATTTTTAGTTAAAATATCACAGAGGAGAAAGTAAAATGTATAGGGTTTGTGCTGCTGTGAGAACTCAGAAATATGACCTAGAACATGCTGCCCTCACAATCTCTCTGGTCATCACAAAGGCACCTGAAGTACCACTTCTGGTAGGTGGCACTATGACAAGGCCGGGATGAAATACTGCAGGGACACATCTTCATGGAGCAGATCAAAGTGGACCATCTTCTTATTTACAATATCTGGGGAGAGAAGAAAATTCGTTACTATCAAGGCCATTTTAGCACACTCACTGTCATCCCTAATAGAGTTCTAATCTCTGCCTTGGGTTTGGGTCCTCCAGAGGCAGCAAGTGAACTCTCTGCTTTCCACAGCCAGAGATGCTGAAGGAAGGGCCTGGTTTTGGCCAGTTCACTCATAGACAGTGGAAAGAGAAGGGGGCAGGGAAGCTTCCAAGGCTTGTGATGAAAATCCACAAGGCAGACTTCCTGGCAACATTTACCCAAATCACCACCACCAGGGAAAAACAGCTTCCGGTCAGTAAGCAACCTCAGTGTGCTGAGGAAAGTCGTGTCATGCTTTCCCTTCCCCTGTGACAGGCAGGTCACATACCAGCAGTATGAGAGGGAGTACTGCAGTAGGCCTGCCTGGTGATTTCGGAAATGCTGCCAACCCTGTCAAGGACCTCGGTCAGCCACTGTGTGTGGCTCAGGGTGCACTTCAGGGCAGCAGCACAAGGCCAAAAAGAAATGGAAGTGGGAAGCCACTCAGTTCTTCAGAGAGCAAGGGGTGAGGGAAGAGTGACAACAGAGTCTCTCAAGAAGTAGCCAGGGTCCACGAGCACGCAAGTTGGGAGGACAGGAGCTGCAAGGGAGGCGAAGGGCGACACATTGTACCTGAAGGCTCAGAAGAAAATGTGGCTGAGGCCGGCTGGGGCTAGGGCCAAGGAGGAACAAAACTCATGCCATTTGCCTAACACGGATGGCACTTGAAAGGACAATGCTAAGTAGAAATAAGTTAGAAGGACTAGATAAATATTGTATGTTGTCACTAATATGTGGAACATAAAATAACTAGACATAGACAGTAAGGCAAGCTGAAAAACTACTATTTGAGAGCTGACTCCAGAACTGAAGCACCAAGGGGAGTCAGGAGGGGAAATAATAAAAAGAGAGACATAATGGTCTGCAGTGGTAGAAGCATTATGGGGTTAGCCTCCAGAAGACGGAAAAGAAACAAAGAGTGGACCAGGACAGCAAGCCCCAGGTGCAGAGAACAGTCACTGGTGAGCGGCAAGCGGAATAAGGGTCGAGAGAAGCAGAAGGGGTGTGGAGGGGTATGGGCCAGCACAGACGTGGTTGGTGGAGAATGAGGGTCGGGAGTACACCTAGGGCCTGACACAGAGCCACACTTGGCACATGCCACCCACAGCCAGAAACCAGAGGTAGACTAGGAGGTTTAGGGGGAGTAAAAAGGAGGTAGGAGGAATTCAACTTCTATTATGTCACAATTTGCTAGTTCTGTTGCATTTGAGTACATTGGTCACCCTTTGGGCACAAACCTAGTCCATGAAAACACTCCACTGTCTTTTGAGCATAAGGCGTAAGTGAGCAGAGCATCCTGGGTTTGTACAATCCCCACTTGCCATACTTCCAATAGGCACACAGGAGGGTTAGCTCAGGTACTCAACAGGGGCAGTGGGAATCGCCCACCAGAGATTCAAGAGCCAGCCCAGAGCTATGAATAGTCATTGGCCTTCAGGTGATCCCTGAGGCCTAATAAGTACGATGGACTTTTGAGAAGTGTGGTCTTAAACCTCTAAGGACCTGCACTCAACCACACCTCTGCCACTCTCGGTTCTATAGACATCCATGCCAGAGTTGATGTCAAATTTTCCCAGGATGCAGCAGGACACTTGTCTCTTACTTCCACCCTGACCTGGTTAACACTTCTCCTTCGTAATCCTGGCCCCATCTCTGCACTATCTGCCTATCATCATGCTAACACATAAGCTGCCTTCCTGGGGTTTCTCCTTTCTGGTTTCTCCTGCTTTCCTTCTTAACTGTCATTCTAAAGGATTGGTCCTTGACATAGCCACCTAGAATTTTCTTGTCCTTCTCTACTGAATGCTGACTGATTATTAGGCATATTCCTGTACTGTACTTCTCAGCTGTCCTGCTGTGCCTCACTGCTCAACCAGGAGTTACTACCTCAGAGGGGTCCCTTCTAAGCAAAGTCACAGGGTCATTTTAGATGCTGTAATCTTAGTGGCAAAGATACAGGAGGATCTTGATTGACAAGAATTTTCTCATGTGTGGCCAATGAATGAAGTGTGCTAAAGTGTTTGATGAAGATGGATTTAGCTGGAACCAAAAGACTATATTCAACAACTGGGGTTCAGCAGGAAGCAGAGAGGCCAATATATGTGACTTAAGAAACAAGACAGGCTGGGTTGGGGACCTGGAGAGAGCACGAGGGGAGATAAACATAACAAAACGTGGGTACTCAGCACCAATCCTCCAGACAGCTTCTCTTTGGCAGACAATTCAAACCCATCTGCCAAGCCAGAGAGCCCAGAAGCCAAAAATGCCAAATGCTAAATGTCTCCTTGCCCTAGAAAACTTAAGTCCTCATGACTGGGTTTACCATTACAGCTCTGAGATTGCATATGATTATGAGACTAGAATTGATTAAAATATTTTAAATTTGAAAACAAATCAAATGCACTTACTGCATATGGCCTTTGTAGGATTTACTTGTTGTCCAGCCAGAAATTGCATAAGCTTCCTAATGTCTATGTGTACTTCAGCCATCTGTTCTGGGTTCCTATCTTGAGAAGCATTTTCAGAGGCTAAAATGACATGAACATTTTAAAATATGCCGGTTTTGGATGTAACAGGAAACAGAGATAGCACAATGACCATTTACTTAAGTAAATGATTTACTTTACTACTGATTTTAGCATCCTGGAGAAATCATCACTCATTATATAAGCTTAAAATTAAGTCCTGTCACCGTAAAATACTACATTAATTTCCAGGGACCTGATATATTACCTATCTCCCCTTTTAAGACAAAGTGAACTAGATCTATTAGCACTCTTAAATGTTTGAAAGCTAAAATATACAGAGCTAGCTCAAAGCTTCTCATTCTAAAGTAGAATAATAAAGAAAGCATCCTTTCAGCTTCTGGTGAAGTGTAAAATACTCTTTACTACTTATCAAAATAAAATGAACCACCAAAATATTTTATTTCATTCAACTAATACTAAAGTCTCATCATGCAGATTTCATTTTGCTGCAGCAGTATGCTCTTCACTACAATAATCCCTTGTAGTGCTATATAATATGCCTATAGGAAAAAAAAAAAATATATATATATATATATAAACAGTTGTATGCTTGCTTCAGAACACAAGAGTGTGGTTAGGGAACAACTATCCCTGGTTCCTTGCCTGGATTCTGGATGAGTATCCCCGTATCCCAACCCCCAGACCCTGACTATGTTGTACAGGGTTCTAATCCCCTCTGAACACATCCAGTCAGTTACCTCAGCTCTCACTGCTCATTGATTCCCTAGTCCCTTATCACCCTGTATGAAAGAACATGAGTGAGAAGTTATGAATTTGCTAATAGAATTTCTTAAGTATTAAAGAAATTAAGTTAGGAGAAAATAAGAAATATTATCCACCTTTCTGATTCCATTTCAGGTGAGAAACTGAAATCTTTAGAAGCAGAAAAAATCATGTAAGAACTGGATGAGTTCCAGGAGATTGTTTAGCTTGAGCACAGGTTTTCTAGAGGAGGAAAGAGTGTGTCGCTTTGTGCCCATGCAGGCCCCCTCCCCACTGCCTGGCAGTGGTAGACTATCAGCCTTGGTGATTTGTCCTCTACCCAAGTAAGAAAAATAAGCTACTGAATTTCAACCTTTTTCTTATTTGAGACTCAGTAAGGCTGTCATTTGGAACAATTCATCAACAGCAAACTACTATACACTGAAGAACTTACCCAGTGGAGGATTTCCAAGATCTTTAAAATGAGTTGAAACACACACTAGTTCAGTTTCTATTTTCAAGTTCAATTCTCCATTTAGGTTTGCTTCAATAATCTGCAAATTGAGTATTTTATATAGTCTTAAAAAAGAAAAGAAAAAACCTATGGAAATCAGCTTCCACAAAACAGGGCGACAAGAGGCTCCACAAACCCCAGAACACTGGTAGCACCAAGACCCATGTGGTGTAGGCAGTAGAGAGAAACAAGGCCAGAGAACCAGGAGCTCAGAAATTCTATTAATACCCAAGGAGAAGTAGCCCTCATAGTGAAAAGCTCAGGTAGAACTGTGGAGTGGGGGAGGGGTGCTCCACTGGGAGGCTGGGGCAAAGGGGTGGGATTTGGAGGAGCCAATAGCAGCTCCTCACAGGAGAGAGCCTGCACTGGGAAGGTGGGACATGCAAAAGTTCTAATAGAATAGGATGAGTGATAGGGTTTATGAGAGGGCAGAGGAAAGGTCCCAGGAAGGTAGGAGAGGTAGCTACAGGTGACGCTGCTTTAATGTGCTAATATTTTGTGATTACATGGGAACTGAGAACCTGGAGTTATGAAGGTAGAAAACTATCTTGGTTCGCTCCCACACCCAAAAGATACTCCCAAAAGACACAGAAAACCATCTGCAGCAACAGGATTCTGGTCAAATTTCAAACCAAGATATTCCAGGGAAAAAAGGATAAGAGAAATACCATTAACTACATAGTATACTCAGATGTGTGAAGGCATTGCATAAAGTAGATGCCAAGTGTAACTTACCTCAAAATGAATTAGGGGAAATTAAGAACAATAGCAGCTCTAAAAAAACAGCATGAATCAGAGTTAGGGAAGCTCAGAAATGAGATAAAAAGATAGTATACAAATATAAAAAGAGCACTAGCAAGCCCAGACAATAATTAAAAATATAAGGACAAACTCAGATAGGAAACTAGACTAGAAGAAAGGCAAGAACAAAGAATACTAGAAAAGAAAATGACCAAAAAGTTAAAAACAAAAATTACCAAATAGAAGCAGAAATAAAAAGGGCCAGAAAGAATAGAAAGCTATGAGAGAGTAGCTTATAGGATAGTGAGAAAAATTCAAGTTTACTAGAGTTCCAGAAAACCAAAACACTGGAAATAAAGACGAGCTAGCAACCAGCATTCCAAAACTGGCCAGGCAAGGAGATGTGGACCTAAATGTAGGGAGGCCACAGTCCACACCTTTCTGACTGCAATGTCCAAACTGGATTTCAAAAAGAAGAGAAAAGTCCCCTGGGGTAACATTCCATACCAGAAGGTAATGGGCATAAGAGAAGCACAGGCCAAAGCCACATTGCAAACACTTTCTTGAAAACTAATAAAATATTCCTGTAAACACCTGCTGACTGATTGACCTTTAAGAGGATGAGTTGTAGCAGGCAAGTGTGAAAGTCAAAACTAAATGTGGGATTACAGGAACAGAATAGCCTAGAGTTATCTTATGCTGACAAAAGAGACAGAATGTGACTATTATAAAATGAGAAAGAGAAAAATATGAAGAAAATTAATATGCTTGTTGACTGGCCCATTTTTATGAGTGGGCCAAACCATGTCATAACTACAAAGTTAACAATCAGAAACATAAAACCTTTAGAATTTAAAAACAACGAAAGTTTAAAAAATAAACTCAGGACCCTCCCTGGAGGCGCAACAGGGTTAAAGCATAGTCCTGCATGTGAGCAGCAGCTGTTTCAGTGCAAGTTCAATGCTGGCCCCAGAGATGATCCACATGGTAGGCAGAAGTACAGCACTGTAGTCGTCATGCTGTCTGTTCTGCTCCCCACTCTGTCTCTGGTGAATCCTCTCACTGCGCCTCTGGCCTATATTCCAGTTTTATATGAATAAATAAATAAATCTTAAAAAAATAATAAGCTCAGATGTTGGAAAACGTGCTTTCTAAATTCCAAAGGGTTGGAGACATTGTCAAGAATCCATGATTTCTCAGGCTGTGATGCCACATGGCTCCAGCACTGTCTACACAGCTGGGTCAGATGACTGACACCTCCCACAGTCCCCAAATTTCTACCTGCTCTCCTATCCCTGCCACTCTCCCTGTGTCTTTGTCTTCTCCACAGATCACAAAAGCGTCCTTTCTTTTCATTCAGTCCTCCACCACCTCAACCCCTGAGTTCTTTTAACTGGAGAGAATCTAGAAATGAAGTCCACAGGGAGACACATATGCGACCACAGGGCTTACGATTTCCCTAACCTGCCCAAGCCACATTGTCTTTCCGACACTGTCATCTACCCATATTCTAAAAGCCTGGCAGGTCTTTGGAAAGCAGTTTGCAAGTCACATTTGCTCAACTAATATTCACCAAGACTGCTACCTAGCAATTGGCAACATAAGACAGCAGTCTCAGAGTGCAGGTACCTTGGGAGGTGCAGTGATCCCAAGGTGAGAGTAGTGGGGACCCCTGCTGAGGCAGTCTGCCTACACCTAGTGAATACAATTTAGAATTTGCTAGTCTCCTGGTTCTCAAAATTGGTGAACTATTTCTCAGAGTTTTACAACAAAAGCAAAAGTTTTATTAATTCAGTTGAGCTCTGATCTCTGAAGTTCTTGACTTTAAGTAGGCAAATAGCCCCCAAACTTACATACCACAGAATCGAGTAGTTTCTCTCTGCATTGAGTATTATCAACCAATCTTCTACTATTCAGAAATATAATGCTATATTTCTTAGTCCACTCTCCTATAATCCAGAAACAAGACTGAAATAAAATATGTCAACAATCCCTGTGACCATTCTGAGCCATCCCCCCCTCCCCCCGGGCTCTATAAAGCTCAAATAAGCAATATCTGAGGGGTACATTTTCACTGTTTTTGAAAAACAATGGTTTGATAAAAAGACATATTCAAGAAAGCAGCTCACAGTGGTCTTATACTAACTTCAGGCTTAATCACTCCCTGAGGCTTTCTTTAAATTCCTAAAATGTGAGTATTCAAAGGTCAGCCCCCTCAGCCCTTCTCTGCTGAGCACACCTAGCTGCAGACAGTGGTACGGGAGCAATCTCTCTGTAGGAGCTAAACAAATGACCAATTCTTTCTCTGAACATCAGCCTCAAGTCTGGTGTGACTGATACCCGTACTGCTACCTTCATCAACACACTATTTCTTAATAATCTGGATAAAACTGTACATCTTCCCATGTTTCATTATATACCAACCATTTATAGAATGGTGAGTTGACCCCACGTGCCCTTAACATAGATTATCTCTCAACAGCCAAAAAGTAATAACGTCACCCCCTAACCCCCAACCGCAACCTCCACTCAGCACTGGGCTTATGAAATTGAGCAACAAGGGGAGTGGCCAGGGTCTGTGTGGCTCTGAGGACTCACTTTTGCCACAACATCATGATATTTCTCATCCATTAAACCAGATTTCCCTGTTTCAATCACTAAGTTGGGCTGTGTAGCTATGAGTCCACATTTCTGAGAAAATATTTAAAGTACAAAACAGCACAGCTCTTATCACAAAGCATGGCTATCTGATGTGTCCAAGATAGGCAGCACCAGTGTCCCTATAGCTTTTCAGAATTGGCGTCTCAGCTCCAGCCCAGCTCCCAAAGGAAAACCTGCACTGTCACAAGACCCCACCGCATTAGTCTATGAAGCACTATCTCACGACACAATGGAGATTGCTAGTGGCCCATGTTGATTTTTCTGCTGCTGTGTGAGTCATGTGCAAAACCCTCCCCCTGACCCCATTGCCCATTAAAGGCAGAAGGAAAGGCCCAAGAGCTCAAGAAAGACAGCTCAGCGTCTCCAATGAGAGTAGGTATTTTCAATGTGCTGAATTACTAAGTCTATATCATGTAACCTTCACAAACAGAATTCTGGTCACCCAAGTAGATCTTATTATGTACTTGGCTAATCTGGCTTATGTACACTTGCTAATTTCCCATTTAATGTTCCAGATTGCAGAGGTTACACCACAGTTAAAATGTCTTTCAAACATTCTAAATCAGAGAAAAATACCTCTGGTGATTTTAATCTCAGCTACTTTGCTGACTCATTTCCATTGGACAGAAAGAACAAACAAGTGGATACTTGGGTTAATTGCCTCCTTTTCTCTGTTGGGCTCCTCTGAACCTCTCTGGAGGTACCCAGATATCCCTGGAGGAAGTTTACAGGTTGACAACTTGATCAACAGCCAGCAGCTATGGAAGAACACAGTCTCAGAAAGCACAGCTTTGAAAGAATTTGGCTATGATGAAAATGAAATCTATGAAGATTATATAGTGAAAGAATTACAACTGTAGAGTTAAAATGGCTCATACACCCTTTCTAGACTTAGAAATCTTTTGCAATTCTAAAGATGTCCTGAAGCTAAATTTCATCCAGGTCCACCCAACATGTTCTAACTGCCCATGAGGGGCACTCCTATAGCCAGTGGCTAGATGCAATGACAGCAAGATGGTTTCCATTTTCAAGAGGCCAGCAGTTCTGCATGGGTTCCAAGACTCCCACAGGCAATTTATCAGTAGTACTGAACAGAACAGCTCAATAGCAGAGTGTCTCACAGTAAGGACAATGAGAGAAGGCCTAGGAGCTAGGATGACTGTGATAATGGCTAAGTGTTTTCTGGGGAAAGATGGGAGACAAGAAATAAGTGTGAAATGGCAGTGACAGACCTGGAAAACTGGCATTATGAGGAAGGATGAAGAGTCTAGAGGTTCTGAAGAGAAGGTGTGTCCAAGGGACAAGAGATGAGGCCTGGCTGATGGTACAGAATAATTGTTTAGGCTCCTTCAGGTATGAACCATGGTTTTTAAATATTATCATATGTGATTTTTTTTTTTTTTTTTTTTTGGTGGTAGTGGGGAAGAGGGTCTGAGTGAGGAAAAATTCAGGATAATCCCAGCTGTGAACAAGAATTAACCACAATTTTCCCATACATGCTATGGCATTTCAACACATGAGCAATAGACCAACATAAAAATAAACTCAAAACTAAACTATCCTTCTTTGTGGCATAAGAGCTGTTTTAAGGCAAGACAGGTATAAACTGAGGATACCTGATATAAGTTGCTATATAAAGACATTCCAAAATCACTGCTGTGACTCACTAACAACATACGTATTAACAGGTAAAATACATAATGTCTGTCTAAATAAGGAAAGAATGCCAGAACTGCCTAACATATGTGTAATGTACCACAATTAGAAATACAAGGGGTTAGGACACTCCACAATGAAGGAGAGTGAAGAGCAATAAAAAGGCGCCAAGGGCCTGAGTAAAGCTGCAAATGCTCAACACTGTGCTAAGCTCCTCCCTTAAAGAGGGGTCTGTCTATTCTGGACACCACCTGGGAACATGAGGGCGCCACCCCCTCCCCCCCAAGCCCACTTCCTGCTGGGATACACAGTCTAAAGCACATACAGCAGAGTTCTTTCCGAAGGAAGTCATAAATTACTTACAAGGCGATTGCTGATGTTTTTCATTTTTTCCACAACACTTTTCATAATTTTCAAGCTTGGTAAATAAATACTAACCTAGAAAACCAATCAGAAAAAGTCAGAAGTATTAAAAATAATATAGCCAACTACTAACAGTTGCTCAGTGTCTACTTTGATATGTATATACTTAAGGCTAGAATTCTGTGTTTTACAATTGCGTGAATAAAGTTCATTTTAAAATATGAAAAGAAAAACAATCACTGAACCTACCCTGGTTACCCTGGTCACCAGGTCCCTGTGGGCATTCTTCTGGCTCCAGGATTGAGATTCCCCATATGAGTCCAGGGGGACCAAGCCTCTCGCCCCACAGGCTATCCTCCAGAGATGCTCACACCCAGCTCAGGGGACTTGAGAAAAAATATGGCCAGCAAGCTTCTGCACCAATACTCAGACTGGGTTGCCAATAGTGATGGAAGTGATGCAGCTTTTCCCAATCGGTGCAGCTGTCTTCCAGGAACAGGGTTATTTCTATAATTTCTTCTTCAATAAATGGTGAACAAAAGGCTAAGGACCCTGTGGCACCAAAGTGATTTTAATGGCTCTGAGATTCCTGTCAGCAAGACTAGGGCCGTCTCCTGTTTGCTACCACACATAAATAGTATAGATACTGCTTCTGACAGGATGAGGAAAAAATTAAATTCTGAGAAACCCAAAGTGGGGCCCAAGGCATGACTTCCAAGAGATATGATGGGCCCCCAAAATATATCAATTTTGTTTAGTTTTACTTAGGTGCTATTCCTAAGACATTTTTCCCCCTAGCTGTAAAGAGTGTTTTTCTACTGTATGCAGTGCTGGCTCATTTACGATGTTTTATGTAAACAGAAGACAATATTCCAAACTTTTCCCCTCAATATCCCTAAGAATGACCATCCCTTTCTTTTCAGGCATATAGAACTTTCATATATATTACGAAACTATAAACTCTAAAAATTTAAATCATGTCATTTAATATATGATGAGCAACTCACCTCAGATGCTGGGATTATAGGTTCTTGTAAGTCCTTCCACAATTTTCTAGGAATAACCTTTACAGGGATGTCGTGTGTTATAATGCGACTACTATTTGACATAGATAACTGACAAGAGAAAAAAAATTTTTAAATTTCAATGTCAATATGAAAAACAAAACTGAAAGACAAAAAAAAAAAGCTAAAATATCAAATCAAATCTAAGTGGATTGTTTTCAATTCACCCACCAAAATCCATTCAAAAAGTACTTATGATGTACCTAGTGGTGTGCCGATAAGAGTTGGGAACTCTAGAGAACAAGACAAGGCCCCCAATGTTTCTGTGGACAAATCAATTACTAAGCAGGCAATGACAGCAAAGTTCAATGAACTATATATTATACATATAATATCACACCCTTCAGAAACTAAAATAAACCAGGTGAGTCTGTCAGGTTCCCAGACGGGGCAACAGGAACGGCCTCTCTGGCCAAGCTTCAGGTTACAACAGACAAGGAGCAGCAGCTAGCCATAAGCAGCAAGGAGGGGGAAGCTGAGCCACCACAGGAACAGGTGGGTAAAGCTGTGAGACCTAAGTAAGTCCCTGTGTAGAAGGAGCCAAGAGACCACTCTGTGTGCACAGGACACTCGTGTTCTATAGAGCCTGTATGACTGAAGTGATAACAGCAGTATGACACATAAAACAAAGTATCCTGCAATTTGGGTTGGGAAATCACTACATGTGATTTCCTTGTCTTCCTTTAGTAACTAAGAAGTACATCAACCTCACATTGTGATGTGAAAAACTGATTAACTCCAAGAACTCCTGATTACAGAGTTGTGGGGAAAAAAAATGAATTGAAGATTCTTCTTTAGCAGAGAGCATTATCAACACTTACACAAGAGTAATAAAATACATAACACGTATAGAGGAGTACAGCAAAGAAGGAGGGGTAGAGGGAGTGGAGACACTGACACTAAGCCTCAAAGGAAGACAGGGCTTCACAGAGTAGAAAACAGATTCAAGTAGGAGCTCCAGAATCACCAAAGGCAGGGAGCTGGCAACGAAAGCGACACATCAGTGAACCCCTGAGCAGATGGCAGCTTCCCACTTGACTCCAAGATACTTGGGCCATATATATGGATTTCCTTCTTAAACAGTGAAAGACTGTGGTATATGTGTGTTCTGAGGAGAGTCACGTGCATTAAGTTCACTGGCAGTAGCTAGTATGGAAGACAAATGTTTTGCTCTAGAATGACAGGTCATGTAAAGGTACTACAGCAGATGAGATATCATTTAGATACAGACAATACCACTATAAGAAATGGAGAGATGAAGATATGGAAAGACTGTCTAGGAAAAGGCAGCATCCTAATGAAATAGTATATGGTCAAAATGCTATGTAAATATAAGAAACTGACTCCAAAGGAAAACTAATAATTATATGCCATAGATATTATATTTTATATATTAATAAAAACAAATTAGCTTTCCACATACTGTTAAAAAATCTAAGCCTGTATCTAGTTTATTTCTCTTGGAATTTGAGAATTCTTCCCCTCCTACTCACCAGTTCTATAGAGACTGTGAGACAGGGAAAGTATTTATTAGTCAGCTTGACTTTCAAGGATCTGGCATTCTGCGCAGTTTTCAAGGCTCGAGATAAGTTTTCTGCTGTCAGCTCTAAATAAATCTCATTATTTTCTTCTGAAACACCTTCCATTTGAAATTCGCTGAAGAAGTTCTCCTAAGGGAAGAAAATCCGGGGTCCACCTGTGCCCTTTCCAATGGCACTCAGGGAACTCCTGCCTCTGAGGAGCTTCTTCTCACCTGTTCCAGCTCACACCACATACTCACTCCTCCACTGGCCACCTTGTCCGAGAGCATGAAGTTGAGTTTCTCAGGACTGATACGCAGAGTGCAGGTTTTGGCAAGCTTGGCTATCATGTTACTGACACCTATAGCAGGGGATTGGAGTAAGGAATCACTAAGACTTGCAGCCTGCATCCTGAAAACTTGTGGAGCTTGTAGTTAACAAGATACAGCTGCAAAGAAAAATTACTTCCTGCGGATAAACAATGGTATCCCTTTGTAAATCATTTTAATGAAGAGGTCACACGCCATCAACATAGGGCCATCAACAGGAGCCTACAGGGTGCAGCTGCGACACTATGGTCAGGGTAGGACTAGGCACAGCAGGAGGGGAGGGACCAAGGCGTCCTGGAGGGTATCTGAGCCAAACAGGTGATAACTACAGATAAGGCCAGAGACAGGCTTTCTTTTCTTAAAAAAAAAAAAAAAAAAAGGCGCGTGCTTGGCATGAAGTTTTGGATGCAATCTTTGGCATCAGCTTTCCCAGCCCAATCCTCTAGCGTCCCTCAGCCCTCCCCCTCGGCCCTGCGCACGCCTAGCCCCATTCTCCTGCACTCTCTCCCCCATCCCCACCCCCCGACCCCCAACCCTTCCGCTCCCGCGCCTCCCCGCACGCAGGGCTCTATCCCACGCCAGTTCTTCAGTCCCCGCGCTCCCGCGCTGCTCCATTTTCCCGCGGGTCCCTACCCGCAGGCCCTCGGCGGGGGCACGCCCACCTTCCGGCCCGCCCTCTCCCATCTTCCCCACACCGCCCTGGCCAGGCTATGCCCCAACTCACGAGTGAAGTGGTTCAGACAGGCGGTGTCCACGATCTTGGCCCGGAACTTCATGGCGGCATCAGGGAGCGGGGAGTCTGTCAGTCGCTGACGAGAGTCGCTCTTTAAGTGTCCCGCCGGAAACGCTGGACGCTTCGATTGGTTCCGCAGTGCTAGCGTTTCCGCGACGTCTGGAGTCCCGCCCTGGGGGAGGTGGCTGTCTGAGGAGACCGGGACAGGTGGACCCCAGAGTAGTGGCCCTGGGAAGTGGGGCTCTGGACAAAGTCCCTAACAGGAGGTCAGGGCCTGGGTTACTGGCGTGCTGGCGTTCGGGGTCAGGCGCCTGGATGAGAGTGGCATCTACTTTTCGTGATGAAGTTCCAAATGTTCTGAGAATTCACCATTTGAAAGAACTTTGCAAACAGTGTTTGACTAATCATGTGTTAATGTTTCAGCAAAGCTATTGCAGTGACTTTAATGGGCAGACCAGTAACTATTACAGGGGATAAAGTAACGAGTTTTTTTATATAACTAAAATAATAGACCTATAGGATTTACAGAATTTCTAACAGCTGCATTATTTCATTTTCTAATAGATTTCTTAACTTTCTTCCAAATACAAATACTTTGCCCTCAAAGTCCAAACATGAAAGGCTTAAGAAGCCCTGAACTAAGAACATACAGCCAAAAGAAGAACTAGAAATACTGACAAATTGTCAATTTATTTTTCTTTCTTTTGTGACTTCTGAAGTTTGATGCTTGTTTACAAAGGTCTTCCTATCCAATGCCATACAGGAATTAGCCCAGGTTATCTTATTATTTTTTATGGTTTCATTACTTAACATAAATCTTTTACTACATCGAGAATTAATCATGCTATGAAATGAGTATGGGTGCAATTTTGGATTAGATAATTGCCGTAAGATTTTGTTTTTACTAGCCCCCTTTAAGACTATCGTTTACTTTATTCTCACATAGATGTAAATCTTATCTGACTTACATAGAAGCAGACTTGTGTCTATTCTGTTGGCCTCTCAATACCAAACAGATTGCATTTTTGTTATATATTTGTGTCACGGAGCTATTTCCCTTTGTTAATTTTTTTTTCCAGAGGTTTCCTCACTTTCTAATGTTTAGAATTAAATTGGCTTAAAATGCAACCCTTTGATCTTTTATGTATATGTGTTTAGATATTTTTTAAATGTTCTTATATTGTAAATACCAAATATATAAGCACACAGAATAGTGGGAGGGAGCCTTTTTTCATAGACAGTCTCTTCATGAACCATTGCTTGTCATCCTTCATCAATCCTTTATCTATCCTCACACCCATTTCCTCCTTTTATATTATTTAAAAATATATCCCAGATATGTCACTTCATCCTTTAATATTTAAATATTTAAATTTAAGTGATGAGAATTTTTGTAATATCAGTAAGATACCATTATCACACGGGTTCCTAAACATAATTAACAATAAATCTTTAATATTCCATAATTGCTTCATAAATACCATAATTAAATTATTGATTAAACTGAATTAGATTAATTTAGCAAAAACTAAGAAGAATTAAGAATAATTGAATTTTTTATCCACATATAAATTGCTTTTTTATTTATTGAGGCCTTTTTCTAGTCATCCACTGTTGCTCAAGATTTTCTTCATCCAATTGGATAAATTATCTGATGTTTTGTCTTTGATATGGCTTTTGTAAATTATCTCCTCAGAGCATTATTTGTGTTTATGAATGATATTGACTTATATGAAATAATTTATGTCCACCAGCTTACTATAGTTTCTCCCTTGTTCATAATGTGTATTTTAATTGACATTCTTTTATGTGTTTTTTAACTGACTTTCTTATATTTCAAGGAGTTTATCAAATCATCTGAAAATTGTCATTGTCGGATTTCACTAATCTTCATCTCTGATGTCTTTCATGTATCTATTGCATTGATCATTGCCTCCAGATCAGTGTTAAGCAACAGTGGTGACAATGGGTTATTGTCTCTGATATAGGTGAATGAATAAGTGAAGGCAAAGATGCTATTATGTGACTTTTGAGTGATACCCAAACTTTTTCTAAATACAAATTTACTTCTTAACTCCAACAGTGTGATTCATCCTCAAAGCTAAATTACCCCAAGGAGACTGGATTTTTTTCATATTTTTATTAGTAAAATTCAACATTTTATTGGCAAGTATGAACCCTCTGCCAATTTTTGTTTATCCTTATGAGTGTGGTGAATATGAAGGAATAAGAATGCTTAGATATTCTGGACTTGAGGTCATGACTTTCTGTAGCAGTTTTAGGTGTGATCTCCTGGGGTACCATGGACCCTGAATCTATACAAACAAGTATACTTTGGGTGTCCCCAATTGCTGAGGATTTTAAGTTTCACACATACTACAGATTCAGAAACTTCATGCTGAAAATAAAGAAAAGATAAAATTAGTACCTTTGTAAAGAAATCTATCTCGAAGAAGCACAAGGATTGCTAATATTAATTTTTTTCCTTCCTAACACAGATATTTTCAAGTACTATAAAAGAGCTAAAAAAACAAATGAGGGAAGGAAGATGGTATATTGGTCTAGACCAAAGTGCCTCTTACTGCCACTACTAAACACAATAGTGTTACTAGTTACTAGTTACTAGTTACTAGTTCTAGGGAGGGAGAGAAGGGGATGGCCATATAATCAAAGGAGAAACTTTGCAAGTACATTCATTGCTAACACGTATGTTATTTGCAACTTAGGTTGTCTCACCATTGACCAAATAGTATCATAAAATATTTGTTTGTACATGGTATGAAATGTCTTCTATATATTCTTGCAGCTAATGGGAAACACTGAAATAAACTTCAAATACCTTAGTGACTTTCAAGGGGTTATATGTTACTAGTTGATATTTTTCCACCAATGAGTTGGAAGGGAAGTTTTGCTCTTATTATCTAATATTTAGTATTTATTCCCTCTTTCTCTGCCTCTCTACCTTCTAGCATCTCATATCACACCATTATCCCCATCCCCTTGACCCAAGGAAGGTGAAATAGCGGCTAACCTAATAGTATCAAGGGGACAGAGTAAGATAAAGACTTTCTCAGTCAAATGGATAGGACTTACAAAATGCTTTGGTGTTTGCCTGTTTTTTTTTCACATCAAAATGCATATAAGCACTTGGAGCCAAGAATTGAAGTTCAGATAAATCTTGCTTAACTCAAACTTTTATGATAAGTATCCTCACATAATAATTTGCACTAAGCAACCCCCAACAAACCCTTCACAGGAATGGGGCCACTCATACCCTAAGTAGTGTTTTCATTACCTGGAGCTCAAATGTTTGAACTGTGGTTCCTATTTTGTTATATATAAACTGACCTAGGAAAATTTCTTCCCCTTCACATTGTTCCAAGATGCCCTATAAAAAAAGCAACAGATGCGGAGGTTGTAATGAATGAGCACTTGGTTAAAATAAATGAAGGCAGTTGTCTGTTCAAGTAGTCACTATTCTCTAGGCATCTTTGTTTATCTATCGAGGTACAGAGCTGTGCCTGATGTCGCAGTTGCTTCATACAAAAAAAGATGTTTAATTCATAGGTTGTGAGACAAAAGACAAGTTGATCACAGGGCTGGCCAGTAGATTCATAGGTGACAGAGACTGATTGATAGACAGTACATACATACATACATACACACATACATACATACATATACACATACATACATACATGGGGGGTAGAGAGGGGTGTTTGTAGGCCCAAGCCAGTCATCACCCTGGCCCTGGCCCAGCACAGGATTATTTTCTTTTTCTAGCTCTAGCATGGCTGACCACAGGAGCAGTCAACAAAACATTGGCGATTAAGGCATAGTTCAAGCACTGAGTCCATGCACGAATTCTCCTAGCAGCTCCTGGCATTTGGTTAGCAAAGTTGAGACCTCCTGAGTACAAGACTGTGGGACAATCCTAGGAGTAACTTGCTGGATACAGTACTCTGGCATCTGCAGAGGAAATGGTCCTGTTTCATGCTCCACCCTGCACACAGAGCTTTCAGACAACTTTTTTCTAATTTAGCTCTTCAATGGGTTAGATAAGGATCTCTAGACATGTGAGACAAGCACCTAATGACTGAGATGAAATCTCTGTCAATCCTTGGGAATAAAAGCAGGGAGGATTAGAAAGATATGAAGTAAAACAAGACTTTGATTAGTATCTTAAAAAGCTTAAGAGGAAGTTTAAGCTTCATTCCATGAATGAAGAAATTTAGACACTTGAAGAGGGACTACAGCAAAAAAGACTCAATATGGGCCTCACTGGTGGCATAAGGGGTTAAGTCTAAACACTAGGAGGTTGTCTGCAGAAACTTAGCAAGAGCTGTTCAATCTGTCAGCCAGCCAGGGATCTGACCCACATGACATAGCAGTCTTCTGACCCACCCACTGCTCCCCTTTCTTCAGCAGTGTATTTCAGTGGATCTGCCTGTTCTGCTCCCCACTCTGTCCCTGGTGAATCCTTTCACCCCATGCACCTCTGGCCTATACCCCAGTTCTTATATGCAGATGTAAATAAAAAAAGTAAATCTTAAAAAATACTAGGGAATACGTTGAATCTCAGGAGGGAATGAAGATCCTGTTTACAGCTGTGCATCAGTGAGAGAGCAGATGAGACATAGCAGTCTTCAAAATCTTATCTCAAAAAAGAAATGTAGAAATCTCACATGAGTGATCACCAACACAATGATAGAAATATTGAAAACTAAGAAAAATAAATTAAAATGAGGAAATGATTGTTCTTGGGGACATGAAAAATTTTCCATAAAGAAAACAGCATTCAAGTGTGATAAGGTTGAATGTTCCAATAGCCACAGTGAAAACCTGGAATTTTGACAAACTAAAAGTAAGTTGTACCATCTGGCAGTGCCTCCCGCATGAAACAAAGATTTACTGTGTGATCTAGAAATATACTCCTAGGTCAGATGCAAGAAAAACCAAAACTTATGTTCACATTATAACTGTACATTGCAGTGTTAAAGTGGAAACAATGGAATTGTCCATCATACGATGATTGGAAAAAGAAAATGTAGTATAGCCATATAGTGGAATATTTCTTTACAATTCAAGAAAATGAAGTACTGATATGTTATAACACAGATAAATCTTGAAAACATACTCAGTAAAAGAAACCATCCACAAATGACTATATATGGTTCCATTTATATGAAATGTCCAGAATAGGCAAAATCATCTATAGAGATGAAGCAGATAAGGATTGCTCTGGGGCTAAGGGATTAGGTTGGGAGTTGACAGTTAAGGGGTATAGCGTGTCTTTGGGGAGTATGAAAATATTCTAAATCATTGTGGTGATGGACGCACAACTATGTGAATAAAGTCAATAAAATACACCCTCCCAATGGGGGAGTTGGTAGTATGTGAATTACATCGTAATCATTTTTTTATAATACATAACAATATCAGGAGAATAGGAGAGTGATGGAAGAAAGTAATCTCCATTTTCTTTCAGAGGACATTAATCAATGATAACCAAAACTGAAAATTAAGAAATAACAGCAAAAGCACATGAGGGCAAGACCCAAATAAACAGCTAAATCTGCCACACGCAGAAACTTCTGGAGGGTAAAAAAGAGGGTGCAGGGGCGTAGGAAAAGGAAAAATCAAATCTCATAAGTATATGTAAGTGTTGATTTTTAACTGTACATGCATAACTTTGGTTAAAGTAAAAAATAAAATTAATTAAAATATGTTCTAACCCTCTCACTCTGTGGGTGACACAATAGAGATTGAGGAAATAATGTTCTCACAGTGATGCAGCCAGTTAGCTACATATTACAGATGATATCCCAGCTTCTAATTCCTAGCCAACTACCCTCTATCACAACCCACTCTAGAGATTTAGATAGCTTCTCACATAGACAGAAAATTCTTTCGGTGCACTAGAGATGTTTCCCGAGGGGGACACCTTCTCTGAGATGTGCTCCATGGTGACAGCAGTTGGTATGATCTTCTTGGCAAGCTTAATTAGTACATGACCCTGGGAGCCAGGAAAGGCCCAGCACTTTCCAGGGTGGACATCTGGCTGGAAAGAAAATACTGAGTTACTCTATCTGGATAGAAAAATCCTCCTACATTACTAGTCAGCTAATAACTACTATGTACAAATCTCACACTTAATCTATTAGGGTACTTTATATGATACGTACCAAATAAGAAAACTTCCAAAATAACCCTATACGTGGTTGCCCTGCTACAAAAATTTTTGTGTATATTAATCACAGTCCTTTATCATGAGAATGCTTTCTTTGGAAATCTAATTTGATTGTAAACAAAAGACAACTACTTAGTAGTAGGGCTAGTGGTAAAAAAGATAGGGATGGTAGTGGTAGTAAGTATAGTGGTGGAGGAGGTGGAGGTAGTAGAAAAGATAGTGATGGTGGTGGCCATGAGGGTGGTTGTGTTGACTGTGATAGTGGTAGATGTTTTAATGATGGTGGTGGAGGCTGTAGCTGTGATAGCGATGTGGTTAGAGTAGGATGGTTTTGGTGTTTGTGGTGGTACTGATGATGACCACCATCATAATTAAGGTGATGATGGTGGTATTGATGGAGATGGTAAGATGGTGATAGCGATGTTCATGCAATGGTAAATAAGAAAAAACGTGTATATCATTTTCAAGCTCTAGGCTATAGTCTGGAATAAGATTCATGGTTTTGCCTTCAAAAGAAAATCAAATGTGAATTTAACATCAAATAAGTACATGAATAGTGCAGAACTCCTCTACTATCTGTTGATGCCTACTATCTTTTGGATGAAAACTAAGATGTTAGTGGAAGTCTTATTTGGATTCCCCTGTTAGAGCTGGACTTTATAGGAATGCACAGGTATAAATAGCACATAGCAAAGTACTGGCAGCTAGGAGGGACATATCTTGAACTAATGTGAGCTGAGTGATGCAGTCTTCAGTAGAAAAGGGGGGCCACAACATCTACTTAAAAGAAATGGAATGTGCATGTTCTATTGTAGAAATTATAGATGTAAGTAATAGTCACAGTTCATTGAATGTAAAACATGAAATAACTAATATAGTTTGATAATTATAAAATTGCAAGAACTCAGTTTCTGGTTCTGTGACAAGTTTAGACACTCTTATGTGGCCACCATTTTAAACATTTATATTTTTCACATCAAATAATAGGAACAAAATCCAAAATATAAATAGCTTATTTTTAATATGGCTGTTACCTGAAGAATAATATCTGGAGGCATTTCATAATTTAAGAACCCAATCCCATGCCAGAAAAGTTTTGCTTGATTATTTTTGTAACTTTCTGAGGTTTCAGCTTCAATAATAGAGGCTCCTAAAATTTTTATAAAATAATTTTAAAAATTACATAACTCAAAAAAATCTGTTAGATTTTAAAAAATGTGTTGGCAAAGTATTGTTAGGAAAATTATGAATATGATAAAATGCATATACTTAGGAAATGGTAGGAAAGTCTGACATTTAGTTTTTATTACCACTAAAATTTTGTTACATTGCAAGTTTACTCTGTATAGTTTCACAAAATTTCTGAAACTGATAATGCTGAAATTTATTGAGCAACCATGTATTTTCTGCTTTTCCTTATTCTTCAATGGCTGCCTGGGGGACTACATTTGAAAAAACATGGATTTTTCAAAGTGACCATGGGTTTTTCAATGTGAAAGTCATAAATACACTCAATAGAAAAGAAGACATTAGAATGCCAATGAATGAGGGTGAATAAAAGATCTATGATTCACTTCTGCCTGTTTTATATCAGCTGTATGCTTCCTGATATTCAGGGAATTCAGATTCAGGCAAGTCTGTTCTCATTATCTCTCTGAGCACATGTACACTTCCCCCTTCCCCCCCCCCCAGGATAATCAGGTAATCCAGGTAATCCTTCTAATCCAAATGCTCTCGATTTCATGCAAGTTACATTTTTTCCCCCTAGTATAAATCTGGTCTCTCAATTGATTTAAATTAGTGTCATGTTGCATAATTTCTATTTACCCCACCCTCTCACATCCTTCCTTTTCCTTTCTCTTCACACTGTTTACCAAACACTTACCATTTATAGATTGTTACAGAGAGGTCTTATAAAGAATATTAAAGTCAATGATTCACAGCCTAGATCCTTAAGAATTTTAAATAGATATTAACAGTATTACATCAGCCTTTAAGCACCATCATCAAGTCACTAGTGATACATTTAGACTAGTTATCAGTACATCAAAATGCCAACTAAAACGGGTGAATAAAAGAATTCTTTGGTTCACCATTGCCTGTTTTACACAGCCAACTGCTTTATGGTTGTAATATAATTGCAAAGTAATACACTGTTAGTGAATTCCTAGCATTTTCCTTCAGGTTCAATTTCTCTGTGTTATTTCAGCCCTCTCTGTGGTGATTTTTGGTGCATACTAATGAAGTTACACTGTTTTTGCTCTCTCTGACATTTGTACTCACAAAGCAATCAATTACAACTACTTCTAATCTCTGTTTAGATTTATTGATTTCTCTTCCTTCTTAAGTTGATAGATAATCATATTTTCCTATTAAAAAATAGAGAAGAGATCCTTTTGGAGCATTGACTTTGTAGAATGGCCTTTTCACATCTTTACTCACCTGCTGACTTAAGGGCATAATCAGCCATCTGGACTTGATCTTCTCGGAACTTTTTAAGTACGTAATCTACCAACCTTGATGTTTCCTGTACAAATTAAAAACAATAACAATACTTTCTATTGATCTCTGTCAACTGCTTGAGCTTTGAACAATCACTGTTAATTGTAATCTAAGTTCCAAATTTGCGAAGTAGCAACAATGAACATTTACTGAGTCTCATGCTGACGTAGGCGCTGGACACAGGTTTCCAGTGTCACTGTCACAGTTCGCGAAATTGTCCTTTTCAGCAGCTGAGGTAACTAAGCTATACTATATCCAGTCACTTTCCTGAGATCACAGAGGATGGTGGACCTCATGCCCCTTCTGTGTCCCTGGCCAGGTGGTGGTCAAATGATGTGTGTGACCTTCTGTGTTCCCTCCCTCATAAGTGTCTCTGCTTAGTCGTCAAGACCATAAAATCCAGAGATTTTACTGCAGTTTACAAGAGTACACAAGTGCTTATGTTTGAGATTACATATCCTTTGAAACTGGTATTATGCTTTACAGATGTGGTGGCTCTAAAAGGCACATAACAGCTCAAATTCTGAGTCAGCATCAGGATTCTGTACTTTTCAAAAAGCAGAGGTTGAGAAAAAGTAAGAAGCTCAAGCTTGTTAAGGGAAAAGAAGCAAGACGAAGTTCATGGTGTAGGGTAAATTAAAGTCGCCAGGTTTTTCTTCCTGCCTGCTATTAGCATCAAGGATGGACACCTGTGGTCTTGCATGCGCGCCTGATGGCCGCACCTGGAGTGTGGAGCATGTGAGGGTGGCGGCAGCCAACAGACTCAGAGCACAGCAGCAGAGGTCAGTGCAGAGACCAAAGCAGAGCCCCCAAGAGAACAGCAGAGCCCAGAAAGACCAAGATTTGCTGGGGGCTGAGGGCTGCCTGCCCTGCCCCTGGTTGCCTCACTACAAGTGGTGTAGAAATCTCACTAAAAGCCTGAGAAAACCACTGAGGGTTCCAGGACTCTCCTTTCACTGGCTGCAGGGTCACAGAAAACCTGCGCTGTGCCTTCCTCACACTGCAACTGGAGATCACATGAGGTGGCCTAACTCTTGTGCTGATTTCCCTAAACACAAGCTTTAAGCCCACAAATACAGACATTTTGTTACTTAAGCATTTGTGTGTTGTCATTCAGAGGTGGCCATATATCAGTCTTTTGCTTTTTTGTTTTCTCCTGGAAAATAAGACTGAGTCACTTATTTCTTTTGTGGGAAGGAAGCCCTAATGCAGTGCAAAGTTTTCTGTGACACAACTATGAAAAGCTGGCTTTCCACAGGCAAACTGTAGTCAAAATAAGCCAGAGTCATGGGAGAATTTTTAAGAAAATGCAAGCCACATTCCTGTCCACACCACTTTCTTTCACTCAAAGAAGCTTGACATGTGACCTCAGAAGGAAATAGCAAGTGTGCCCTGGCCAGCACCATCCCCAGTCTTACCTCATCCTCGACCCCCATGTGGTCCTCATCCTCTGTGGTATCTCCCAGACCTGCCTCCCAGCTGTAATTGTACAGACCATTCCGCATATCTCTGAGCAGTGCCTTCAGGACATCTATTTGTTCAATTAAAACAAGAATTTCCCGGAAGTTCTTTTCCAAAGTCTGACTTTCCTTCCTATAAATGGAGACCCCAAGATTAGAGGAAGCTGGTGCCGACCTTCTGGTACCTCCTGATGCTGGGTTTAGGGGCAGCAAAGGAGTTTATGTGAAAGACAAACCCTAGAGTGAGGGGACTCAGATACCTAAAGCAAAAACACTGAATTTCACTGCATAGAAAAAGTGAAGACTTTCAAGGGAAGCTGTCCAGAGTGGTCCTTGTATTTGGGGCACTCTAAGCAGACAAATACCTACAGTCCCCCCTCCTCAGGATTCTGGCTTCAGGCTGGGTAACTCCCCCAGCACCCCACACGCCCTCAGACAACACACATACACACACACCTTGGGGCTCAGATGCCCAGCCCTACAGCTCTGCTTGCAGGCAGTGCAAGTAGCAGCAGGTAGTGGGCATTTTACCTTCTGCCCCCCCTCATGGCCCCTCTGGGGCTCAGTTTGCAGGCAGAGGTCAGCAGTGAAGGCAGATGGCAGTAGTTCCCTTACCACACTGCCCCAGGGCATGCAGCCCCAGGCTCAGGACTGCTAGGGAGGAGCAGGGGCCCCTAGTGGGTCAGCTCCTGTGCTGTGGCCTCCTCTAGGTGCAGGCAGGCAGATACCTATGGATTTGGTACCTGGATTACAGAATGGATCGATCAGGTGTGAGCTATGAGCTGATTGTGGCTATGATCAAATCAATTAGCCATGAACTGAAAATGGTATAATCAACTGTGCATGCGTGCGTGCGTGTGCATGTGCGTGTGTGTGGTGGTAGGGAACCTAAAAGAACATCTAAGTCAGGGCAAGAGTCAGGTTGGGAGTTAGATACTAACTGCCTTACTGTGTGTTTAAGGACTTGCTGGGCTCTCCCCGGTGGTACAAGGGTTAAAGTGCAGCACTAAGCAGCTATTTGCAGCCACTGGCCAGGAAGGTGATCCTCTCCTGTCTCATCCACTGCTCCCCTCAACAGTGCATTTCAGTGAATCTGCCTGTTCTGCTCCTCACTTTGTCTCTTGTGAATACTGTTACCCTCCCCCCGTGTCTCTGGCCTTTACCCCAATTCTTTTTTGCATAAATAAATAAAATCTTTAAAAAAGGACATGCTCAGTTTCTGACCTCAGAGTCAGTATCTGACTCATAAAGGGAACGTTGTTCCTGGACTCCAAAGAAAGAAGGTGCATTCCGCAGCCCATCTCCACAGGAAGAGGAGAAACCAAAAAATCTTTGCAGAGAAATCAGAGCTTCTCAGAGTCCAGGCCAGATGCATCTGCCTCCTGTCCCACCGTGATCGCTGACTGAGACAGCCATACGGGACATAGGCATGGGGGCCAATAGCAGGGCTAGAGCCTCAAAGGACAGTGTCCAATAGAAGACAGGCCACTGTCTGTAAACGGAATTGGCAGGCTTTTTACCCTCCCGCCATTAGCATCTATGAACGGCAATGCAGTTTTCCTTATGCACCTGTAATTATGGACGACACCTGGGCCCAGAGCATGGGCATACACATCTGTAAGTGGGAACACCTGCTCGAGTGGTGTGAGGATATAAGGGTGGCCATCTCTTTGAGTCAAGAGGTCAGGGAGAGGAAAGAGCCAGAGAAATACTGAGAGAGAAAAGTGGCCTGTCTCCTAATTCAGCATTAAAGGTCTATAAAAATCTACTGAAGGCTCCAAAACTATATTTTTGTCTGCAAGAACTAAAGATGAACCTACCCAGCTTGGGATGGCTGCGAAACAGAGTTCCCACCCACATGCACAGCTGCAAGACTACTCAGGTTCAGGGTGTTACAGGGTAGCCCAGAGTGGACTGGGCCGCCTGTCTGTGGGGCCTCACCCGTGTGCTTACAATTCAGTTATACTGCAGGTACATACAAAAGGGTCAATAGCGGGTTTATTTACAAAAGGGGAAAGGAATAGGAAACAACAAAGGGAGAGAGAATGAGGGGAAAGGAATAGGAAACAACCCAGGGAGAGAGAACGGGATACAAAGTATCTGGAATACCTTAGGGCTAGGCTGACTGAACACACAGAGTCACATGGTCCGGAGAGCCGTTTCCCAGCAAGAGAGCAAGAGATGCAATCATGCCCTATTTATCCCCCAAATGTCCCAGAATTCCTGCTAGCTCCACCCTTGGGTCCTCGCAGTTTTCTCCCTGGTACTGCTGGGAGTTGTAGTTTCCAATCACTGGAGTAATGTGTAGGGTCCAGAAAGCTGGAGTAGGGGGTGGAGTCCATAAGTCTCTGCAGAGTTCCTTTAGGACATCCTTCCCTTTGACAAGGGCACAACAACGGGGCTTATTTAACAACACACAGGGGAGTCGGATTTCTCAGTGCCAGAAGTGGCTGGCTACCTCACTGCAAATATTGTCCACAGTGTTCAGAGATTTCAAATAAAACTATCCTCATCCAAATGGCTCTGTTCTGCCAATAATGGCCTAGAGTTTGTGGCGCACCAGCAAGCAGTGGGTGTGACATCCACTCATCACAGCTGGGCCTCACACTACCTGTGAGGTACTCATAGGTGGGGCTGCTAACACTACCGTAGCAGCCCGTGACAACAATATGAAGGTCGGGATGGAAAGCACTGGGTGCTGGGCCAGTCGACAGAGACTACAACACCAGGAAGCAGTGCTAGACGAACAACAGCTCTCAAAAGGTGACCCAGGCAGCCCTCCCTGGTGGTGCAGTGGGTGCAGTGGGTTTAGAAGCTAAAGCCACTTCCTCATGAGTTCAATTCCCGTCTGCCCTGGAGGTGACCACATGGCATGGCGGAGCTCTCCTGACTCGCCCGCTGCTCCCCTCAGCAGTGTACTTCGTCCATCTGCCTGTTCTGCTCCCCACTCTGTCTCTGGTGAAGACTCTCACCCTCCGCATATCTGGCCTGTAGCCCAGTTCTGTATGGGTAAATAAATAAACCAAAAAAAAAAAAAAAAGTGACCCAGGCACAGAGTGCTGGTCACCCATCAACACTGCCAGGCAGCACTGGCCAGTAGTGCTAGTCAGGACCAGTCATGAGGATGCAGTGGCACCAGTGTTACAGCTCTATGTGGGTTGTTGTCTCCCAGCAACAATAAACAGCTCTGAGGCACCACACCCCGCGCCTTTGCTGTTCCTTTCAGGAGATGTCAGAGGCAGGGCTGGGGCATTTGAAGCAGCCCCCTGTCTCAGCAAAGCTACTCTACTTCTTTCTTTGCAGGTTGGCTCCTGGGTGCTCTTTTTTTCCTTTTCCTTCAGAGAACAGAAAGTACATTCCTTTCAAGAGTCTGAGAGTCTCTGAGTCTGAAAGAGCAGTCTCTCCCGAGGCCAGGAACTGCTGGCATTTGCCTGCAGCCTGAGCCCCAGTGGGACTACTGTGGCAAATGGTAAAATGCCCATTACACTGCTGCTTGCACGGCCCACAAGTAGTACTCTGGGCTGGTTTTAAAAATTTTGAAAAGTAAGTGTTTTGGCAAATCAGGTGTATGGTGGGCAGGTTCAAGGTTGATTCCACCAGAGGAAAAAGGATTTTGGAGCCCTTGATAGATCTGATATGCCTGTCTTTAATGCTGAAGCAGGGGACCAGGTATAGGCAGACACGCAGGCTGGGAGGCTGAAGCAGCAACCAAGCCTCCCAGTCCCCTGCCCCTCTGTGGTCTCTGGCTCCTCTTAGCTTTCCTAACAATCTCCCTTACAGTGACCTTCGCCTGGGCGACCGGACTCACAGCTACATGTTACCTGTGCTCCTGGCTTCTAGGCCAGGTGGCCATCAGCCAGGTTGCATGCCCCATTCTGGCCCCGTGCTCATGCTCCCAAGTGCATTTTGCAATAAGATGTTCTCCCTGTGGGCAATGGTACCTAGGAGGGACACAAGGCCGCAGGTGGCAGCCCCAGAGGCCAGTGGCAGGGGTGGAAGAGCCTTGTCCACTCCACTCCATTTCCCATACAGCACTGCTACCTGATAGTGCTTCTACGTTTTTCTTCTATGTAAAAACTAGTAACAAAATTGAGATAAATCAGCTTTAATTTTTAAAATTCTCCTTCCTAAAGTATTTGTTATATTTCATGTGTTCTCCATCATTGTACTTTTAAACTCACTGATTCTTTCTATTGCTCGCCTTTGCCTACTGCTAAGGTCCTCCATTGTATTTTATAGTTTGGTTATGGCATTTTTAAGATCCATGAGTTCTAGTTGCTAACTATCTCATTTTTCTTATACTTTATTGTGGTACTGTTTTTGATTATTCATTGTTTTTCTTAAATTGGCAAGCATGGGTAGGAGTTTCCTTAAAATCAACAGGTTTATTCCAAAGTTCCACTGGACTTAGGCTTCCTGTTTTTTTTTTTTCTCTCTCTCTCTTTCTTTCTCTCTCTTCATACTTTTTTTCTGTCGGTTCATTTTCAGTTTTTATGGATTGTCAGGCGCTTCCTTTTTTAAATATTAATAAATTGGTTATAACCCCCTTCCAAGAAACTGCATATAATTCTAGTTTTTTTTTTTCTTTTTTTACCCAGGATCTTCAGATATCTATTTCATAAACCTAGTCTTTGTATCTGCTCAAATAGCTGACACTCTGGTGCCAGGAAGGAGTAATAGGAAGGGAGCAGGGTAGAAGGGCAGTCAGAGATCATGCCCAGGGAACAGCAAGGGTTAAGTTCATGACAGTGCTTTGGGGTACCCAATTTATGTGGTGAGGATCCATAGTAATCCCCTCCCCTATGCTCAGTCCTCAGCTGAAACAGCTCATGCAGTCGTCTTCTGTCAGACTCACCCTCTAAGTGGTGGTTGAACACTAGATGCAGTGCTGGATGAGGACTAGAGCGGAGACAGGCCACAAGCTAGAACTTGTCCTCTTTCCAGAGTATGAGGCCTCACCCTGTTGGGCTTGCTTCTGTTCTTCAGGTCCAGGAGCTTAAGCTCTGGTTAGTTAGACTGTTTAGTTGTTGTCTTGGTGTTGGTAGATTTTACACATAACACAGCCTCAGGCAGCAAATGATAGTCTCTTCTGTGAGGATGCAGGGAAACTGATTTGAGCTGTTCTAACTGGTCTGAGGTGTTCTCAGAATTCTAATTTGATAGTCTCAGGCGCAAGCCAGTAACAGCCACTCTGCACCCTTACTCCTACAATTATCCAGTGGTGCACTCCTGTTCTCATGCAGACTCTGTACCCTCTCTCCAGTTTAGTGCTTGACTTTTAAAGTCTTTGATGTGGGTGTGGCACAGGGCTATGGCTGCCCAAGGACAGCGCCCACTAGAGGACAGATCACTGTGGCTTTCCACCTGTGTGCACAACTGCAAGACCACTGGGCTCAGGGAAAAACACTAATGGGGTGGTTTAACAAATGGGAAGCAAAGGGTTTCTAGGGCCATGGCTATTCTACCCCAGATAGTGCCCATAGTGTGCAAAAGTCCCAAACACAAGGTTGCTCATCAAGACGGCACACCCTGCCAACAAGGACTAAAAGGTGGTGGCAGCCATCAAGCAGTGGGCTAGGATCCAACTCACCACAGCTGGAACACTGACAGGCAGGGCCACTGGGAGGATGCCACAGCAGCCCAGAGCCACAGTCTGAAGGTGGGGGTGGCCAGCACCAGTCGCTGGCCAAATAGCAATGGAGGCAGCACCACTAACAGGTGGTGCTGGAGCAGATACTACTTTTTGTGAGTCACCGGCTGCCCCAATTAACACAGCTCTTTGAGACAAGCCCAGGGCCTTGGTGCCTCTGCCAGGTGGTGGCAGGGGCAGGTCTGGAGCAGGTGAAGCTCTTTGACTTCTCCAGAGGTAGGCCGTGGATGCTTCTCTCCTGCGCTGCCTTATATCCTTTTCAGGGTGCTCCCTCTGGCTGATCCCTGCCTGACTGGACTCTTTAACCTGGCTGGCGCCCAAAGGAGGGGCTGACCATAGGCAGCAATTTTTGGTGCCAGCTGGGAAAACCACCATGTTTTTCAGTAATACCCGCTGCTTAGGCAGCAGTGGGGAAAGGCCAGGCTTGCCTGGCAGGCCATGCTGCGGCACTGGTTACAGGAATAGGTGCCCTTGAATTTATAACAGCTGAGGAGCTCCAGACACTAGCTGTCCCTCCTCTCTTGGGCTGTACTGCCCTGAATAGCTCTAAATAGTCTCGTTACAGTTTCCTTACCCCTTACCACATATGTAGGCCACTTGCTTGGGTTTAGGGGTTGTTTCTTGCTTTGTTGTAAGTTGGCTGTGATATGTAGAGTAGGTGAGCCAGGCATCTCATGCTGCTTGTGGGACTCACTGTATTCAAAATGTTATATCCCACTGCACTTTCACAATTATTTATAATATTTTATAATTGTCTTAGTCGTTTTATAGTTCTCCATTGCATGGAAATACTCTAATGCACTTGAATGACCTATTTTTTAAATCTAGTTTTTCATTATTTACTATAAATAATGCTGAAATATATACCACCCAGTCTTTTTTATGGCATGACTCATAAAAATAGAAAGGATTTTACATTTATAGAATCATAAAACACACCAGAGTTGCATGTATCAAAAAATGTCACTTTAAAACTTACTTTAAAATTTCCAGTTGTACTTTTGGTGTTCGAAGTCTTGTCTGAGAATAAAAAATAAAAACAATCATTCAAGTAGAGCTACTTTTATTCATAAAAGGAAGAAAGTAAGAATTCTACATTGATACACATGGATGATGGGTAGGAGACACCAGAGTCCTTTAAAATACTGCACCTTGGGCCCTCCTGGGTGCCAACGGGTTAGGATGCAGCACTGCAGGTGAGCAGCAGCCGCTTCATTGCAAATTTGATTCCGGCCTGGAGGTGATCCATGGCTCAGGAGACCTGTCCTGACAAGCCTGCTGCTCCCCTCAGCAGTGTACTTCATCGATTTTTCTGTCCTGCTCCCCAACCTAGTCTCTGGTGAATCCTCTCACCACCTGCAACTCTAGTCTGTACCCCAGCTCTGTATGAATAAATAAATCTTTTTAAAAATGCTGCGTCTTTTTCAGTCTTAATGTACATAATTCTCATGTTTGAAGATGAGAGCTGATGATGAGTGACATTGTATTGGAGCTTTAAGATGGACACACAATTCCCTATTTCTCCAAGTTGTGAAAGTGCTAAATACATTCTGAGGACACTGAAAGAGAGGCAGGAGGGTCAGAATGCTTGGGATTGGCAAGGAGGCAGCAGGGGAAGAGGAAGGGGTGGGAGGTGTGGAGGGTGTCAAAGGGGGAGGAGCAAGTAGGGGAAAAGGAGGAGAAAGGGGGAGGTGTAAAGAGAGGGGGAGGGCGAGGAAGGGGAAAATAGGGCTGGTGAGCAAATGGACATAGTCAAGCCCTTGGACAGGAACAGGCAGTCCCTTTCTACACAAGGACTGTGGCGTTTGTATAGAACTGCAGACATCAGTGTAGACACTGACCGGGCAATGGAATGGGCATCTCACATCTGGACAGGTGTGCCTGTGCCAGGAAAAGAATGATCAAGCTGCTGTCAGGCATTCAAGCAGTGTCATCCTGCAGCGATCAGCAAGGTCATCACAGGGAACAGCTCCTCTCTGCCCCAAACTCCAACCTACATACAGTGCGAGTTCCGGACTCTCCCCTGAAGAGCTGCACACTCAATATAAAGCAAAAGAAATGTGCACCCCACAGTACTGAGATCAGAAGCCCAGGAGTCATGAGGACTGAGATTATTTCTTGCTTCTTCCAATACCTGGTGGTTGTACCATGCCTATTTTTTGGTGACGGCATCACTCTGGTCTTGGCTTTCATTTTCACCTAGGTTTCTTATAGGGACTCTTGTTATTGGATTCAGGGCCCATTGATGAAATTCAGACGATTTCATCTTCAGATCCCTAGTTTTATTAAATAAACAGCACAGTCTGAGGACATAGCTTTTGGGAGATCTTGGAAATGCTGTCTGGGAAATGACACTCCATCCTTTTTTGCTGATAAATTTTTGTTTCATTGACTCCAACTTTTGGTCAGTTTGCTCTGCTTAAAATTGAGTAATGCACAGGGGAGCATCTCACGAAGGCTGTAGTGTGAAATGTGATGATAGCATCAGTGAAATGCTGTGCAGTGCAGAAAATTAATCAACTTGCTTTTTCCTCCCCAATTGAAAAAATTAATATAAGCTTGCCCCAACATTTTTCTTCTGACAAGGTTTTGGATCTGGGAGCTTATTTTTAGTAGAGAGAAATTTTCTCCCTCCCCTGCCTCCACCCCGGACCTCCCCCCCACCTCTTTTTTTTCAGTTTCTGTTGAGTAAATTCCCTGCCTGTAGGAGCAGTGCTTTCAATATTTATTTCTTTTTCTGTTCTGGCCTTAAGAGACCATATAGAAAAATACTCCAAAATCAGCTTGCTGATAAATGAATATGAGAGTTCCTTGAAAATTAAATTTTCAGATTTTTAAAAGTCTTATTGCCCCATCCCTAAATTATTTCAGGTAACTTTCACTGTAGGAGCATCTATAGTATAAAAGGATACAGGACACAAACAGAAAAAGGGAGAGGAGAGAAAGCAAAGGTTGCTTGCGTGGTTACATTTATATTAGCATTGAATATTTTATTCTACTCTTCTCCCTCCCCCTTGGGATTGGGTAAAGCAAACTTAAAGAAAACTGAAGTATGTACCATGCAGTATCACTTCAGATACTTGTGGACTATTTGCTTCTACTGAAAAATGCACTGAATTGAAAAATTCAGATGCACTGAAATCTTCATTTGTCTGTATCTATTCTTTTGCAAATGATTCCACAAGAATATTCACTAATGATCACATTTGAAGAAAAGAACAGGAGTTGGAAACATCAAAGGTGGGTCTGGTACATGGTGGTGCCTTAAATTCCTGGGAGTTATTAGCTTTGGGGTATTCATTTGTCTCTGAGCATCATACAAACAAACTCTCAGAACCCTAGCAGCCTTCAGAGGCCCTACCAGGGCTGCACATTCCTCCTAGTCTGACCTGTGGGATGTTGAGATCTCTACAGGGTCATTCAGTCTGACTCTTGAGTAGCCAGGATATGGCTTTACCAGGACATCTCAGGATTGAGCTGTTGCTGGCCCATCTTAGTAAGGCCCAGTGAGGGAGGAGGGACCTGCAGTCAGTGGGGCAGATGTAGGTTAACCACCTCTTGAGAAATGAAGTGGTCAAGTAAAGATAGCAAAGAAATGGCAGTGGCTTCATTCTTTTGTTTTTTTTGGGTAATGTTGACGGAGATCCAAAATTTTATATGTTAGATTCTGGCTACTGTCTTTTGAGTAGGGACAACTTCGATGTAAATGTTAACAAATGCCTCACATGGATATTTGTTTTTTACCCCCTTAGCAAAACTCCCACAACATACCTAATTTTAAAGGACACAAATGCAGGTGAATTCCAGAGGATTATTATTTTGCAGACTGTGCCTCTGGTTTAAAAAAAAAAAACAAAACCCACAGCAAGTTGCTGCTCTAATTAGGGCTTTATATTCAAAACAATCAAATGGAGAAAGTAATTTATAATTATTGCTCTTAAATTCTTTTTGATGGTGACCATGGTCACTAAAGTTGTGCAGTACATGGCAATTAAAACTGTATCCTCAGTGTATAGTTGCTAACAGTTCAAAAAAGAAGGTACAATAAGCAAAGTCTGGGTTTGAATTTTACCTCCAGAATTACAGCCTCAGGGACACATATTCATTCCCTTACTCATTCTAATCCAGCTTCTTAACCTGTAAGTGGATTTAGTAAATCTCCTATTAAAGGATCATTTTGAGGATTACATGAAATACAGATTTAATGTGTTTAAGATCACTTCTGGGACATAGTTATCTGTTTTCCATGGTGAGTGACAGGAAATGTATATCTACCTTCCTTTTTAAAAAGCATTATCAAGCTGCTAAGTTTCAACTAATATATATAATCCAAGGTTATCCTGAGAGACAGAGCTAATAGGATTTGTGTGCATATACACATAGGTTTATTTTAAGGTATTGACACATATGAATTTGAGGTTGGCAAGTTTGAAATCTGCAGAGCAGACTGGAAGGCTGGACACCCAAGGAACTGATGTTGCAACTCAAGTCTAAAGGCCCCACGTGAGGCAGAATTTCTTTCTCTCAGAGACTTCAGTCTTTCTCTCAAGACTTTTGACCAATTGGATGAGGGACATCATATTATGGAGGATGATCTACTTTACTCAAAGTCTACTGATTTAGTAACGTATAAAAAATATCTTCAAAGCAACAAATGGACCAGTGTTCCACTAAGTATATGTGCATCATAGCCTCGCCAAGTTGATTCATAGAATCAGCCATCACATGAAAGTTGATTAAAAATTGGCAATAAATGGATTTGACTAAAAATTGGCAATAATTGATGAACTGGGAAGCAGAGGACTTCAGACACCCGAGAAAATGCATGAGTTAGGTCCAAGGTCACTGACAATGGCGACTGCTGGCCTGCCCCTTCTTCCCATTAAGGTGTAGTTGTCTTGCCTATAATTCCTCTCACTCTTCTCAGATCTTTGGATGCCAGAGCATAAGATATGCAAGACTCAGTGTAGAGTACTGGAGAAAGCCATGGGATGGACCAGAAAGAGGACATCAATGTCAGTCTCAGACTAAGTCCAATTAGCTATAACTATTCATCTCATCCAGATCATTAGGCAATGGTCAACAATAAAGTTCTATTTGCTATTTTTCGTGTGTTAGAAGACTTAGTCCATTAGGGCTGCAATAACAAAATACTGCAGATTGAGTGGTTTATAGACAACAGAAGTTTATTTCTCACAGTTTTGGAGGCGGGAGTTCAGGATCAAGGCCCTAAATAAATCCGGTGTCTGGTAAGCATTTGCTTCCTGATTCATAAGATCTTCACACTGACGTCTGTACATGTCAGAAGAGGTAAAACTGCTTTCTAGTGTACCTTTTCATAAGAATACTAATTCTAATCATAAGGAACTCACCATATGACTCAATCTCCTCCCCAAAGCCCCACTTCCAAATTTTATCACAGTGAGGATTAGTTTTTAACATACTTTGGGTATGGGGGCATATAAACATTCAGTCTATGGCATTCCTCCCTCTGTTTCCCAAAATTCCTGCCTTTGTTGCATGCAAAATATATTTATCCCATCCCAATAATTTCCAATAATTTTGAGCTTCAACTCAAAAGTCTTAAATTCAAAGTCTCATCCAAGTAATTATCTAAATCAGATGCTGGTGAAATGGAGGTGAAATTTATAAATGGTGAAATTTATCCTGAATCAGTCCCCCTAACCGTGAAATTGTGAATTCAAACAAGTTAGCTGCTTCTAATACACAGGTTAGGACAGGCCTAAGATAGACACTCTCATTCTGAAAGGGAGAAACTTGGAAACAAAAAGGGGTACCAGGTTCACAAACACTTTGTAGGAGTCTGCAGAATTAGAGGGTATGGAGAAATTAAGGTTCTCTTAACTATAAATCTACTAATAGAATTCTGGTTCCTATATTATTTCTATTAGGTATTCTTATGTAAAATAAAGATAACATGTAGCAAGTTGGGCTCACCTTGTAGCATATTAAATTTTTATGTGAGAGATGGGCAAATTATTTAACAAAACATCACCTGGTAATTGTAAAGCCTTGAGCCATATTCTGCAATTAGAGCATAAAAGTGTCTGATTTTCTGAGGAAATCCTGTTTCTTTAAGCTGCATGTGATTTCTAAGTCCTATTAAAGAAAAGACAAATTCTGATTAATGAATTTAACTGGAACATTATTTTACCTGTAGTAACAGAAATGTCTTTAAGCATGGGAGATAAACACTGTTATAATCAATAACAGATCTATGGGTAATAATATGGAAAATGACTGCAGAGTGTTCAAAGAATTAATTCTTCATTGAAATAATAGTTGACAATGGTTGGGAGTAGCAAGATATTTTGAGCCCTGTAAAATAATCAAAATAGTGAGATGGGGGTGGGGGTAGCAGCTGAGGGAAACAACTTGAAGTCAGCAAAGATAAATTTAAGACAGCCCAGAATTTTAATAGCAGTTGTTCTGAATCTGTAGATTACTTGGAGTTACTACAGACATTTTGAAAATACTGATTCTTTCAATCCATGAACACAAACTATCTTTCCATTTATTTATGTCTTATTCAATTATTTTCATTAGTGTCTTAGAATTTTCAGTATTTCAAGGTTTTTCATGTTGGTTAAATTTGTACCTAAATTCACTTTGTTGAAATTATAAATGGGATTATTTTCTTAATTCCTTTTTCTGAAGGTTATTAGTATACAGAAATGCAAAATGTTAAAACGACATGTATTGGCATAGAAACAGACACATAGTCAATGGAACAGGATAGAGAACTCAGAAATTGAATCACACATACATGATCTATATAGTATGACAAAAGAGTTGAGACTGTACAATGGAGAAAAGACTATCTCTTCAATAAGTAGTATTGGGAAAACTAGATAACCACATGGAAAAGAATTACTCTCAATCACTATTTTAGACCCTCTAAAATTAACTCAAATTTAACTCAAAATTAAACAAAATTTCACTCAAAACGAGACCATAACTCTTCTAGAAGAAAACATAGGTTTTCTTGACCTACTTGACGTCAGCCTTAATATTTTGAATTAGACAACAAAAGTAAAAATAAACAAATGGGACTTGCTATATCAAATTAAAAAGTTTCTGCAGCAAAGGAAACTATCAGCAAAATGAAAGTTACCTACTGAATAAGTAAACCTACTGATAAAGAGTGATATTCAAAATACTAAAGAACTCATAAACTCAATAGACAAAATAAAACAAGCAAAAGCACCCAAACAATCCAATTTTAAATTGAACAGAATATCTAAATACAGTCGCATTTTTCCAAAGAAGAAATACAGATGACCAACAGGAACATAAAAAAATGCTCAAATGACTTGTCATCAGGGAAATGCAAATCAAAGTCACAATGTTATCACACCTGCTAAAATGGCAATCATGAAAAAAACCAAGAAATAAATACTAACAAGGATGCACAGAAAAGGGAACTCCCACTGCTGGTGGGAGTGTAAATTGATGTAGCCATTGTGGGAAGCAGTAGGAGGTTCCTACTAAGTTAAAATAGAACTATCATAGAAAATATTAACTTGAAACGATATATGCACCCCCAAGTTCATTGCGGCTTTATTTCTAATAGCCAGGCTATGGAAACAACCTTAGTTTACGTTGACTAATAAATGGATGAATGGATAAAGAAAATATGAGATATATATGTACAAATACACGAAGGTACGTAATAAATATATGCGCACATATACGTGCACATACACACATATATGTAGATATGTATATAGGTACGTGTATATATCTATATATGTATATGTGCATACATGTGTTTTGTGTGTATATGTGTATTTTTGTGTGTGTATATGTATATACACACAGAGATATAATGGAGTAGTTTTTTAGTCATAAAAAAAAAAAACTTGACATTCACAACATGGATGGATCTCCAGTACTTTTGATAAATGATAGGTCAGAGAACTACAAATACCAAACCATCTCACCTATATGTTAAAGAAAACAAAGCAAAATAACAACAAAAGCCAAAGTTATTGATACAGAAAACAGATTAGTGGTGACCAGAAGTTTTTGGGTTAGGGGGTAGAATAAATTAATGAAGGGGCTCAAAAGACACAATCTTCCAAATATAAGGTAAATAAGGCCTGGGGATGTAATGTACATCATAGAAACTATAGTTAATAATGCAGTATTGGGTATTTGAAAGTTACTAAGAGAATAAATCTTAATTTTTCTTAAAGACTTACTGTGTGTATATTTTGACATTGGGGGTCACATTTCATTTTGTACACCAGCTTCGTCATTATGAATCTTTAAAAATTAGTTTCTTATGTCTTTGCTATATTTTTGTATAACATTCTCCCCTCAGGTGTACTTCCTATGATCCATGCTACTTGTGATCCATGATCAAAGTCCCTTGTACTAAGAGAGTTAATCTTAAAAGCTCTCATTACAAGAAAAATAAAATTTTGTAACTGTGGTGATGAAGGGTAGTTACACTTACAGTGCTAATCATTTCTCAGTGTAAACAAATACCAAAGCATTATGTTGTACAAAAGAAAAATTAAGAAAAACAGCCCAGAGGTGGTAAAGTCTCAGGCAGTGTGCAATTTTCCATTAGAAACTGGATTATTTGGTGTCTACTCTAGATATTTGCTGAGCTGCATGAGACAGTTAGGATTAGCTAATGGAAAGTGGAGCTGAGCTCAGGTTGGTACAGGATAGCAAAGGCCCAGGATACACGAGTACCCTGAATATTATCATGTTACAAAGATCATGGCAGTTACTAGGTTGAAATCTTGATTTTGTTGGACACTGTATGCCTCAAATGCATGTATTAAAGAGAAATTTTCCTGAACCCCATGATCTTGGCTATGAGAAAAGTGCAAACTACATGTTCGTATTTCAAGTATCTGTGGTGCGCCAGAATCTTAAATTGTCAAATTCCCAATCTCAATCATCCAGATTTAGAAAAGATCAATTGTATGTGTTTGTAATAATAATAATATAAATTAAGGATTCATAATTTTAAAACAATTTCAGTGATTTTAAGTCATGATTCTAAAAGGAAAAAAGCATTTTGTAATCTCCAGTAAAGCAGTTTGTATTCCTTTTATAGTCAGAAATAAAAAGAAAAAGAAAGAATGCTTCAAGTACACATGATCACTTCCAGTGTTTTCTGTAACTTTAACTTACAAATGTAAATCATTCCATTGAGGTCTGTTCTCACATAGGCATGCCATATAAATTGGCTGTATAAGGACAAAGACTTAGTCCCTTACCTATAAGGAGAAAAGTCAATATAAACACCACACTTAGGATAATTGTCCACAATCGAGTTAACCTAAGAAAAATAAAAACAACACACAAAAATTTATCAATATATCTTCATTAACCTTAATTTAAGCCAATTTAACAAGCTTGGCTATTCTAAGTTGAGTCTGAATTAACTAAATCCCAATCTTTTTTTTTGAAATTGACAGAAAATATTTCTAGGATGACATGTATTTATTTATACATATATATTCACTTTATATATATATATATATATATATATATATATATACACACACACACATATACACACACATATACACACACATTATACTTATCCCTCACTGTTGCAAACATTACTAACATACTCTTTTTATATGTCTTATGTATGTAAGTTTTTAATGTCTATAAACAAGTAGAAAGGTTATATTAGATTTCCGGATATAGAATGAGCTAAAATGAAGCTACAGTTTGACTTTGGGAAATTAATTATTAAGCTTAAACAACCAAAAGTTAAGTGATTCAAAATACTCATTACCCTTCTTCTTACTTTTTGTTGCAGTATAATATACACATAGGGCATAAAATCTAATTGCACCACTCAGTGGGCCTTCATAAAGTAAAGAAATTCATGTAGCCCACCTTGAACAGAAGAACTGCTGCAGGCAGTCAACAGTTTCTTGTGCCCCGTCAGATCCTCTGCTTCCCATCTGGAAAGGATCACCTCTCTCTTGAGCTCTGTCACCACTGACAGAGGACAGTTTAAATGTCATCTTCTAAGCATGGCTCATTTATTTGCAGTTACCATCTTACCAGTTTAAATGTCATCTTCTAAGAGAGCTCTGCTCTGCCCTGTCTAACTTGCATCGGTTTGCTCTTCTCTATCATAGTATTTGGGTTATTTCCCTCAGAATATTTGCCTAACACATTGATATACTTATGTCTTCACCTATTTGATGTCTATCTCTCTAGGCTGGTAACTGCAAATAAATAAGCCATGCTTGCAGCCCTTTGCTCAGTCTAAGTGTGTGAGTCCTCCGTATGCCCTTGAAACATGGCCGGCTCATCATTCCATTACAGTAGCATGTTCTGCCGTGTGATACGCACATGGGCATCCACTGTAATGTTGGTTAGCATCACAAACCCTGTTAAATGATGTAGTATATTCTTATGATGGCGCTTGGACATTCTTGTATGTGGTTTTTGATGACTACCCCTATGTATGTCCTTTAGGAATATTCCCAAAAGAGGAGCTGATGACAGGATATGTAGACTCAGTAGATTTTTCCATAGTTTTACAATGTGGGTTACAGTTAGTCTTTTCACACCCAAATTCTCTTAAAACCAAACAAGAGAAAAAAATATAAGATAAAGTAGATAAAGATAGGTGCTTTGGAACAAAGTAGTCCAACAGAAAACTAAATTTTTTACTTTAATCATATGAAAAACCAGAGACAGATGGATCATTCATTCATTATAGACAACTTGATGTAGCAGGAGAAGCACTGGATCACTATTGAAGAAATGGGGTTGTGGTTTCAGAATTTCAGGAAGTAATTTTAGCCATTTGGACTGTGGCTTAATAATCTTCTCTATCAATTGAAAAACATAGTTCTCTGCTATATGTCTAAGAATGCTAAGAAAATGACCTTAGGTCTGGAAGCTACTTACATTTAGTAAGTATATACTAACTCATTTACATTTTGTTATGTGTAATTTATTTAAAGTTTGCATTGCTGCCCAAATAATATAGAGCATTTACTCTTTCAATGAATTCCTGAGCTTTATTGTCACTTAGGCCTGTAACACTACAGCTCTAGAAATAGATCAAATACCACAGGGAGTAGAGAGTATCAAGTATGGTGATTCTAATTCTGTAGAGTCACCAAAGAAAAGAAATAAAACAAAAGTAAAATTTTAGACTCTAAGACCAAATTAATGGTTACAAGAATAATAGGGGGGAGAGGTTGGTGAATAAATCATGCAAATCATGTCTTCATTATGGTGAATAAATCATGCAAATCATGTCTTCATTATGGTGAAGGATAAATTTGAACTTTTAGTGGTGAACTTAATGTAGTACATACATCATATGTTGACATATGATGATACACATCTAAAACTTATGGATATTATATAGTCCAATGATACTTCAATAAAAATGTTTTAAAAGTTAAAAAAAAAAAGTCATGCAATTCCACCATGTGGGATCTGTAAGAAACTTATCTCTCTACAAAAAGCTACTATGTTTATTGGTGACCCAGTGAGACTGTGTCAAAAGCAACTAAGAAAGATTTTCTCAACTATCAATAGATCCTCCAGCCAAGTAGACTGTTGAAATCACTGCTTCCTTTTAAATATTCTTAGTCAGGTAGGGATGTACTATCCACAGATTGACTATAGTCTAGTAGACTCCTTTTGATATACTGAAGTAAATGAAAACTAACACATTAACCACAAAGGGCAAGCTCTTCTGGTAAAAACACTTGCTTGCTGTTAAATTCTGTTTCTCAATTTTCTTGTGCTTCTTCACCCCACCTCTGGGATATAGTCCTCTTCTCTGTAGCAAGCTTTGCTACCATTGATTGTGATTTCAAATGTTTCACAAAGATAAATTTATGGTACCCCTTTCATTTTCATTGAGAGTTGTGTTTCTGTGAGAAAGCTTCTTTGTTGCCATTGGGATGGTGATATTTCATTACTTTGCAGTTTTTCTTTTCCCAGCAGGCAGCATGAAGGGGCAGATGAAGGGGCTGGGATCTTTGGCACTCAACTGCAGGGCTTCGTGCTCTTTCATAGTCTTGGTCCACATCCCCTGGAATTAATCGAAATACCATTGACCTAGAAAGTCATCATGCCATATGAATCCTGTGATGCAAAGAAAACTACAGAGGAGTGTTTGGAATGATTTTCTCCAAAGAAGAGGAAATTTTTATTGGGTTAATTTCTAAGTAACCAGCACACCTGACATATACAATATAAGATCTTATAGAGTCATTCTGTAAAGTTACATACCCACTGGAGTCAGGGTTCCTGGGCTCTGGGTGTATGGCATTCATGCTGGCACTACTACTCCCTTCTTCAGCACGACCCCTAAAATACCTGGCCCGCCTCCTAGACTTAGGTCTTCCACTCATTTTCCAAGTAACAACGAGCTGTTAGAAGGAAGAACACCAATCACTTTCTTTTTCTATTCCATGGAGAACATGACACTGTCCATAGTGGTTTTTGTTGTATTGTGTTTTTATCTCCTCACTGGTGTTTCTCCTGCCAGGGGGAAACAGTGACTGAGTAAATCCTGAAATGCCTTGGATTCTTCTGTTACATCACTCCTCTGTGACACATTGTGATGACACAATACCTATGTCAGGTGGCTGCCTAGCACCTGTCCACTTGAGCATATGTTCTTCCTGACTGGACATTTAAAATGCTCTCCTGAAACATCTTCGACACATTCTGCATCATGAGAAGGCCCTTCTGTACCTGCAGCTCTGCTATGACAAACTGATGTTTTGCTGTGTTTACTTCAGTATTTATGATATGCTTGTGATGTGTCAAAAATACAATGGAAGACTCCAAAATATCATCCCCTAAACTCACTCGTCTTTCTGATTCCCCACAGATGACTTCAATCTGAAAATTAGGGGTGGTTTGTATTACCGGGTTCCAGAGGAGAAGCCAGGCTAGCTAAGCCAGTGGCAAGGAAGCTGAAGCTGTGAATTCAGGCGGGGGAGCTCTAGCCTGCTGTTCCTGGTGCTCTAACACCTTCTCAATCCTGCGTGGGAGTCCAGCCAGCCCTGGTCTCATATGCCCCTGGAGAAGAGGGTGAAGATAGAGACTATAGTCCTGCCTGAAGACGAGGCCTGTGAGCCAGGAGAGGGAGGGCCCCTGTACTGCAGCTCTAGAGGATTGGGGACCCTGAAGCAGCTGCTCAATGAAGCATTTTGACATTAACCCTAAGGAAGCTGGATTGCTCTGAATTTGCCTATCTCTTTTGAAGTGTCTTTAGAGTGCAGGGATTAAAGAATTAGACCTCCTCACCAATCTTTGAAGCTGCCTAGATTGCTAATGCAGTGGGAATCCAGAGAAATAATGCATTGCTAGTTTGAGGGCCAGAGGCAACCACTTCTGGACCACCTGAGGTAGGAGTAGCTGCAGCTGGGCTGCTGTTGCTGCTGCTTCTCCTGCCATCAGGAGGACTGGGCAGCTAGATAACTTCAATGGTCCCACAGATCAATGGAGTCAAATTACAGCTGCCACTAGAAGAGGTCCTGTGAGGCTGGACATGTTGATTACTGGCCCAGTGGGTCCTCCTGAACATATTGATGTGTTGGGTCGACCACTGTCTTTCTGGACAGCCTGCCAGAAACCATAAGAATGGACAGGGACAAAGAGTCTCCAGGCGGTGGATGGCCCAGCAAGGAAGTAGGTGGAGATTTAAAACCCTTCCTGAGGCTCAGGGGTGGGAAGGTTTTATAAGGAGACTTAAGTGAAACAGCTATTTTGGGAGCCGTGAAAGGAAGTAATGCACCTGAGTTCACTCTTCATTTTCAATATTGGCTGTAGATTTGTGATGTATGGCCCTTTATTATACTGAAGTTTGTCCCTTCTATTGCCATCTTGGCTAGAATTTTCATCATAAATGGGTGCTGAATCTTAACAAATCTTTCTCTGTATCTACTGATGTTATCTCTACTTTTCTGTATATGATGTATTACATTAACTGATATGTATATTAAACCATCCTTGCATCCCTGGAATAAATCCTTCTTGACTGTGGTGTATAACAAGCTTTGTGTTATATTGTGGCATTTGTTTTGTTGAAGATTTTTGCATCCATGTTCATTAGGGATATTGGTCTATAATTTTCTTTTTTGTGTGCTGTTTTTGTCTGGCTTCAGTATTAGGGTAATGTTGACATCTTAATATATATAGGGAGCATTTCTCCTTCTTCTTATATATTTAAAAACAATTTGAGCAGGATGTGCAGAATTCTTCCTAAAATAATGATAAAAATTCATTTATGAAGTCATCTTGTCCTGGGCTTTTGGTTTTCAGGAGGCTTTTATGTTTTGTGTTTTTCTATTTTAGTTTCCATGTTTGTTATCAGTTTGTTCAATTCAAATGTCTTTTCTTGGGTTAGCTTAGATAAACTATATTGATCTAGAAATTTATCTATCTCTTCAAGGTTAATCAAATTTTTAGCATGGAGTTGTTCATAGTGATCTTTGATGATCCTTCATATTTAGGTTCAATCTGCAATGATTTCTTCTCTTTCATTTATAATTCTGCTTTGTAAAGTATCAATATTTTTTCTCATCTTTGTTATCTAGGTAGAAGGTTTACCTTGAACTAGAGATATCTTTAACTGGAGATATTTTCTCAAATTATCAGCTCTTCGTTTCATTGACATTTTGTAGTCTTTTAAATCTCATTTTCACTTATTTCTACCCTTAGTTTTTATTATTTCCTACTTTCCACCAACTTTGGGTCTTGCTTGTTCCTCTTTTTTGATTTAATTTAAAGTGTGATATTAGATTTTATATTTGGGATTTTTCTCACTTTTTAATGTGGGCCTGCATCCTCCCATTAAGACTGGTTTTATGCTTTATCCTGTAATTCTGGTAATTTGTAAAATAATTTTTATTCAAGATATTTTGTAATTTCACTTTTACTTCCTCTTCTATCCAGTTGCTGTTACTCAACATGTTGTATTCTCTCTATGTATTCCTAGTTTTTCCTATTTTTTTTCTTATAGGTGATTTCTAATTTTATGGGTGTTATGGGCAGAAAGGGTACTGGTTATAATTTCAATATTTTTAGTTTCATTAACAATTGACTTCTTTCCCAAGATATGGTCTATTCTTGAAAATTTCCCATGTGCATTTGAAAAAAACTGTATATACAGGGGCCTCCTTGGTGGCACAGGGTTTAAATTCTCAGCATTATCAAGCTATTGCCAGTTTCTGTGATGAGTTGATCCTGGCCAGGGAGTTAACCCAGATGGCATGGTAGACTTCTTCTGTCTCATCCACTGCTCCCTTCAGCAGTGTATTTCAGTAGATCTGCCTGCTCTGCTCCCTATTCTGTCTCTGGTGAATCTTCTCACCCCCTGCACCTAGGGCTTACACCCTAGATCTTGTATGCATAAATAGAAATATATATATATTTAAAAATTGTGTAGGTAGCAGTGTGGGGGTGGGGTGGAGTATTCTGTGTATCTCTGTTAGTTGGGTCTATCCATTCTAGTTCCTCATTTAAAATTGTTATTTCTTCATGGACAACACAAAAATAGAAAACTACAGGCCAATATCTCTAATGAACACTGAAGCAAAAACCCTAAATAAAATCTTAGGGAATAGAATCCAACAATATATCAAAAAGATAATCCACCATAACCAAGTGGGATTTATTCCAGGGACACAAGAATGGTTCAACATTTGAAAATCAATTAATATAATCTAACACATCAGCAAAATGAAAAGCAAAAATCATATGACCATGTCAATAAATGCCAAGAAATCATTTGATAAGGCCCAACATTCATTTATGATAAACATTCTTGAAATTCTCAGGTTAGAAGGAACATACCTTAACATAATAAAGGCCATATGCAACAAACCCATAGCCAGTGTCATTCTCAATGAAAAGCTACAATCATTTCCTTTAAGGTCAGGAACAAGGCAAGGATGTGCACTCTCACTACTGCTTTTCAAGATAATATTGGAAGTCCTAGCCAGAGCAATAAGATAAGAAAAAGGCATACAAGGAATTCAAATAGGGAAAGAAGAAGTAAAACTATCACTATTTGCAGATGTAATGATAATATACATAGAGAATCCCAAAAACTCTGCAGAAAAACTTATCAAAATAATCAACCAGTTTAGTAAAGTAGCAGGACATAAAATCAACACACAACAATTAGTAGCCTTCCCATATACAAATAATCAATATGAAAAGGACATTAAGAAAACCATTCCCTTTATAATTGAAAAAGAAAAAAGACCAAATATTTGGGAATAAACCTAAAAAAGATGTGAAGACAAAGAAAATTTATAAAACATTGTTAAATGAAATGGAAAGAGATCCCTTGCTCATGGATTAGAAAAATTAACATCATTAAAATGGCCACACTACTAAAAGAAATTTATAGATTCAATGCTATTCCAACAAAAATTTCAATGACATTTTCAAAGGAATAGAACAAATACTGAGAAATCCATACAGAGCCACGAAAAAATATGAATGGCCAAGGCTCTCCTGAATAAGAAAGAAGGGAATGAAAGTATCACACTCCCAGACTTCAAACTATATTATAAAGCCATAACAATTAAAACTGCATGGTACTTGAACAAGAACAGGCATACAGACCTATAGAATCAAATAGAAAACTCAGATACAAATCCACAGCTATGGGTCTGCTAATCCTAAATGGCCTATTCAGCCTCCATTTTGTTACTTACAGTTCTGTATTCCTAAAGCAAGGTCAGAACTGCCTGGCCATAGGAGGCCAATCCTACAAGGGAACTTTTGAATCAAGAGCATAAAGCTGAATCACTCTGGGAAGGGTATGCATCAAGAGGTATGACCAGAACTTCCAAGGGACCATTGACTGAGGTATAACAGGACCTAAGAAGCTAATCAGTGGAATGCCTTATTGATAACATTGAAATCCTGACTGGGAGTCAGGGCTTGGTCTACAGATCAAGCTATCAGCAGATGAGAAGTACAGTTCCACCCTGCCCTATTTCTTCTACTTCCCTGCCTCATTTTCTGCTTCCTCATATGATTAATTCTGTATGATTAGTTTACCAATAAAAAGGCCAGGATCTTGCTCTTGAGCAGCATCCTGAATCATGTAGCCTGCTCCACAACTTCCATCTCTTTATCAGTGTAGTGTTGCCCAAATAACACACAACTTTTATGGAAAGCTAATGTTTGACAAAGGAGGAAAGGATATGCAATTGAACAAAGAATGTTTATTCAAAAAATGGTGCTGGGAAAACTGGATTTCTGCATACAAAAAAAATGAAACTAGATCACTACCTCATACCATGCACAAAACCTAACTCAAAGTGGATTAAAGAACTAGACATAGACCTGAAACCATAAAATATAGAGAAGAAAATATTGGCAA